ATAATAATAAATATTTTAAATTATTTTAAATTATATTTTTATAATAATTACATAAAAGTAAAAAAAATCATATAATCCATGCACATAAAATATATAATACATTAACATTATTATGTAATTATAAATAAAAAATATATTTTATCGAGTAGGCATAACAATTTTCACTTTTTAATTTAAAAAGTTAGGTGATATTTGGTTTTAAAAAATATAGTCATTTTTTGTTTTTATTTTTTTTAAAATAAAAAATATGAGTGAAAACGTGTTTGATAATTGAAAATGAAAACAAAACTTTAGAAAACAAGAATGAATGGCTTAAGTATGAAAAAAAAAATTTTCAATTGTGAAAATAATAGTTATACATTACTTTTTTCTCATGTTTTACAAGTTATCATATTTTAAATTATTTTAAATATATTTTTATAATAATTACATAAAAGTAAAAAAAAATCATATAATCCATACACATAAAATATATAATACATTAATATTATTATGTAATTATAAATAAAAAATATATTTTATCGAGTAGGCATAACAATTTTCACTTTTAATTTAAAAAGTTAGGTGATATTTGGTTTTAAAAAATATAGTCATTTTTTGTTTTTATTTTTTAAAAAATAAAAAATATGAGTGAAAATGTGTTTGATAATTGAAAATCAAAACAAATCTTTATAAAACAAGAATGAATGGCTTAAATATGAAAAAAAATATTTTTTCAATTGTGAAAATAATAGTTATACATTACTTTTTTCTCATGTTTTACAAGTTATCATATTTAAATACATTTTAATGTCATTAATTAATAAATATATATTATATTTACAATTAGATAACATTAATAGTAATATCTTTGAATATTTTATTTATTTCCTTAATTTAAAATTTTTAAAAAATAAATTTTAGTTTCGTTAACTACATACATTTTTTTTAAATAAAAAATATTTTCTATAAAATAAAAAAATATTTTTTCAAATCGAATGAAACCTTATATTCTTTATTTGATAACCAAATGATTCAACTACTCATAAATAAAAAGTTACAAAAATAGTAAAATGTATTTTATAAATATTTATTTTTTGTAATTTGTGAATTTTTGAACCGTTTAACTTTTGAATATTTATTTTAAAAATTTTAGGTTTATTATTAATTATTATACCACTAACTATATAAAAAATTCCACCACCCTTTTAATGTTTTTTTAAGTTTTAACTTTCAAGTGATGATTATGTCTACTCTTCTTTTTTTATTTTTCCCTTTAAAATTTCTCAAAGTTGCAAATTGCAAACCTACTACATTTTATTAAAACATTTCAATTATGATTGAATGTTGCAATTTAAAAACTATTTGAATATTTTATTTATTTATTTAAAAGGTTTAGAATAGGAAAAGTTATCTCATTTTTAAGATCATAGCAAGTTATCAACTAATAATATGATTTATGAATTAATTTTAAAATTTTTTAAATTTACAAATCACTTACTAACAGAAAACTGTGGATATTTAAACTTAAATATTTTATATTTAAATCCTAAACCTTAATTATTTGCATAAATTTCTATTGACTTGGATATTTTATTATTATTATTTTAATTTGATGTTCTTTTTTATTTTTTTAAAATTATCTATTAACTTTAACTCCTAAGGGCTTCTAAATATATCAAAAAATCTTCTATATACACCCCACAAATTTCCTTCAAAAAATATTCACATACTAAATATCAAATTTAATCTTTAATAAATTACGAAAATACTCTCATCCTTTAATACAATCCATACCTCATTCTTCTTCCTCCTTTTTTCATTTTCTTCATTATTTTTCTCCCTTTTTCATCTATTTTCCTCATACATTTAATCCTACATCTTTAAAACTAAAACTAAAATATCGAAATTGAATTTGCTTGAAAAATGAATTTTCAAAAAGTTTTAGGATTTATTAGAAATAGATTTTCAAAAAGCTCAAAAGCTTATCGAAAATTCATCGAAAATCTATTTTTCAAGAACTTTAAGACTTATCAAAAATGAATTTTCGAGAAACTTTAAGATCTTTTGAAATAAATTTTCGTTTAGAGGCTTATGATAAACCTTTAAGTTTTTAGATTTTCAAGAAGTTTTAATACTTTTCAAAAATTCATTTCCGAAATGCTTTTAAACACTTGAAAATCTATTTTCAATAAATTCAATTTCACATAAATTATATCATAAGCTCAAACTTATATTCATATGCATTTTAACAAAATTAATAAAAAACAAGCTAAAAATTTTATCTTTAATAAGTGTAAAACTCAAAAACATAAATGATTTAAGCTAAGTTTGATGGGTTTAGATTTTTTTTTGGATTGAAATTGAAGACAGAAAAAGAGTGAATGAAAGAGTGAAATGACAAAAAAAAAAAGAAAAAGAAAAATGGGATGTGGGGTATAATTAGTATAAATAAAAAATTTAAATTTAAATTTAAAATATATTTAATAGTGGAATGCATAGAGGGGTTGCAAATAGAATTCTACAATTTTAAATGAACATTGCATCATCGAATACCTCAATGTTTGTTGTCTTCTTGTGAAGAAAATTACCAATATGGGTATGAAATAAATTGAAAACTCATTCTTTAGTTTAATTTGAAATGAAAAAGATGAAAAAAAAGAAAGAAGAAGAAGCATATTTAATACTTTTTTTATATTTATCTCCAAATGATTTTGAACACGAATGTCAAGAAAAAAAAAAGAAACTTTAATAAGTACAAAAATGATCATGTTAGGAAATTACCAGCCAAAATGATGAACAAATTCTCCCTTTTTTTATTTTTTGAGTTATGATTAAAATTTGATTTATTTATATATACTTTTTATTTTTTAGTGAATTTAGGAAAGTTTAATTCCCTTTTTTATTTGGTGAAAAATTAACATTTATAGAATATATCATTATTTAATTCATATTTAGCGCAAGAAAGATAATTTGCCATAAAATATACCGTTGTTTTTATGGTAGATCACATAGGCAAATATTATTTTTAATAATATTACTTTTAAAAATAATTCCTATAAATTTTTTATAATTATAAATATTATAATTATATAAAAGTGAATAAAAAATGCATAATCCATACACACAAATTATATAATAAATTAATATTATCGTGTAATTCTGAATAAAAGAAATTTGTTTATCAAATTGGCATAGCAATTTTCACTTTTATAACTTAAAAAGCTTTATACTTTATTTGATAAACAAATGATTCAACTACTCACAAATAAGTGTTACAAAAATAATAAAGGTAATTTAAAAATATTTATTTTTTGTGATTTGTGAATTTTGAAACTGTTTAACATTTTAATATTTATTCTAAAATTTTTAGGTTTATTATTAATTATTATACCACTAACTATATAAAAAATTCCACCACCTTTTTTTTAAGTTTCAAGTGATGATTATGTCTGCACTTTTTTTTTTTTTTTTTTTTTTTTTTACCTTTAAAAATTCTCAAAGTTGCAAATTACAAACCTACTTCGTTTTATTAAAACATTGCATTTGTGATTGACTGTTGAAGTTTACAAACTATTTGAACGTTTTATTTATTTATTTTGTCACAAAAAAAGTTTAGAGGATGAGAAGTTATCTTATTTTTAAAATTAGAGTAAGTTTTTAACCAATAAAAAGATTTTATGAATTAATTTTAAAAAATTTTTAAATAAATTTGATGATTTGTGTATTTATATCGTATAAAATATTAAAATTTATTTAATCATATTATATTTTATATAAAAATTATGTGTTATAATTCGTATTGATACGAAAATATAAAATATAATTTTTTATTTTATTAAATTTGTATATTATTATTACTATAATTTTAAATCATATTATTTTTTATTATATTTTTATATTATATTTATATCGTATTATCATATCAATTTTAAATTATCAAATTTATTTTTAAATTTTTAAATTTATACAAAATCTATTAAACTTGAATATTTGACATTTAAACCTTAAATCTGAAGCACTACCGTTAACTTTATTGATTTGAACATTTTATTATTATTTTAATTTGATTTTTTTTTCATTTTTTAAATTATCTATTAACTTTAACTCCTATTTTTAAATGAACATTACCTCATCCAATACCTCAATGTTTGTTGTCTTCTTGTGAAGAAAATTACCAATATGGGTTTGCAATAAGTTGAAAACTCATTCTTTAATTTAATTTGAAATGAAAAAGATGAAAAAAAAAAAAAAGGGAAGAAGCATATTTAATTCTTTTTTATATTTATCTCCAAATGATTTTGAAATTAGTTAATTGCACGAATGTCAAGAAAAAAAAAGAAACTTTAAGAAGTACAAAAATGATCATATTAGGAAATTACCAACATAAATGATGAACAAATTTTCCGTATTTTATTTTATTTTTATCCTTTGAGTTATGATTAAAAATTGAATTATTTATACATTTTTTATTTTTATGTGAATTTAGGAAAGCTTAATTTCCATTTTTATTTGGTGAAAAATTAACATTTATATGGAGTATATCATTATTTAATTCATATATAGCACAAGAGAGATAATTTGCCATAAAATATACTATTGTTTATATAGTAGATCACATAGGTAAATGTTATTTTTAATAGTATTACTTTTAAAAATAATTCTTAAAAGCTTTTGATTATTTAGAATTTCTATGATTAGGATCATTATTATTTGATTAATTATTCTCTTTTTATAGCTAATTAACTATCCAAATTATAGAAAACTCAATAAGTTTATTAATACTAAAAACTTTTAAAATTTGCTTAATAATAAAAAAAAAAAGATAAATATAAAAAAGATAACTTATTGGATTAATTCATCAACCCTTCCAAAAAATAATATTTAATAAAAAATTAAATTTAAATTTAAATTTAAATTTCACTATTTTTTGTGGCGGCTCAACGTAAAAAAATTAATAAGATCTGACGTGTCAACAGCGGAGATAAGTGGTCCACAAAGGACTAAGTTGGCGCAGTATTTAATCCCCCAAAACCAAAAGAGAAAGAAAAGGAAACACTTCCTGTCTTCTTGCATTCGTTTCCGTTTCAAAAGTGTAATATTTATTGGCACCCTTCCATCTGCATCTCTCTGTTCCATTTCACTGCAAAATCAGCTCCAAACCCTAGAATTTGATTTGAATCGATCAAAAACAGACCAGGTGATAGTATTAACTCGTCATAATCTTTTTTTTTTTTTATAACTTGGCTTAGATTTGTATTTTGACTTGATTAGACGTTCACTTTGAAAGACTTATGTAACTTGTTGCCTTCTTTTTTACTTTTTTTTTGTTTGGTTCGATTTGCAGTGAATTTGATTCGGAATTATTTTCTAAATAGCGGCATTCTTTGTTTATTAATTATAGATTGTTGAAATGACCAATTTTTAGTGGTTAGTTGGTAATATGATGCATGTTTTAACGGAGAAATTCCATTTTAGGTCTTTTACTAATGGTATACAATTGTTTCTTTTTAGAAGCAAGTATTAATGCTTAACTAACTTGTGGATATTGATAATGGCAAATTGTGGTTCTATAACTTGTTACTGAGAGGCTTCAATTGTGTGTTTTAATGGGCGCAGATTGATGGCACTTGTTTTTAAGGCAGGCCCATCATATTGTATCCGTAGTGATATAAGACGGGGTAGAACCGGAAAGGATGTAGCTTTTGTTGAGGCTCCTGTAATGAAGGAAAAATCTGTCAGTTTTTGTTCCTTATCATGCAACAATGCTAAGATAGCACGGATCTTCCCTTTAGGAACTGTGGGATTTGGAAGCAAGAGAAGGAATAGTGTGATTGTTGCAGCAAGCCCTCCCACAGAGGATGCTGTGATTGCTACAGAGCCGTTGACAAAAGAGGATCTTGTTGGATACCTTGCATCTGGATGTAAGCCTAAGGAAAATTGGAGGTAAGAATTCCCCATCTTTGTTTTGTTTGGATCAGAGTACTTTTTATGCTTTTTTATTCTACTTGAAGATAAAGTTATCTTATCATTCCATATTGTCCTTTTTATGTTTATCAGCTGTTGTATTACCAGTCTCACCCATGATTTTTCAAGAACCCTTTGTTGCCTCTATAACTTTGTGATGTCAATAGCTAGCATATTTGGTCCTTGATATGTATTTTAGTATTTATATTGGATCCTATTCTAGTTTAAATCTTTCCATTAACCCAATGGTCCTCTTTCTATATCTGTACTTGTTCACTAATGCAACTATTTGGTTTTCTCAGGATAGGTACAGAGCATGAAAAGTTTGGTTTTGAGTTCCAAACTTTGCGACCTATGAAATATGAACAAATAGCAGAATTGCTTAAGGGTATTTCAGAGAGATTTGATTGGGATAAAGTAATGGAAGGTGATAATATTATAGGACTTAAACAGGTAAACTGATTCTCTTTAGTTATGGTGCTTCATTATGCTATATTAATGGTAATGCTAAGCAATTCTATTTAGTAAGAGGCTCCTAGTTTCTTTTTTTTTTTTTTTCTAAAATGTTTCTATATTACAGGCTACCATCATTTTTGTTTTCATCTTGATTGTCTAAGGAATTTTTGTGAAACTTTTACCTTTTGTGGGCTAGGGGAAGCAAAGCATATCACTGGAGCCTGGAGGGCAGTTTGAGCTCAGTGGTGCACCTCTTGAAACTTTGCATCAAACATGTGCAGAGGTCAATTCACACCTCTATCAGGTCAGTTAAGGACAAAAGAATAAAGTCAAATTCATGCAACCTTTTACTAAGTTATACATTCTTAAGAAATTGCATGCTGAACTAGCATTTATCAAGAATTTGTTTCTGTTTATAAGCTCAAGAATGGTGCCCTCTAAATAGAATGTGCTTTGCATGATAACTTCTAAATCATCTAAATTAAATTGTCTAACACACTTTGAACTTGTTAGAAAGTAATCACTTTTAAAATATTTTCTAATTATGTGCTTTTTTCTTAATTTCTTGGTTCACACACTCTTTACCTTTCAAGTTTCACTTAATAATATATCATGCCTATGTTACCTGCTACTAGGTTAAAGCTGTTGCAGAAGAAATGGGAATTGGATTCTTAGGGATTGGTGTCCAGCCCAAATTGGGAATAAAGGACATACCTGTTATGCCCAAGGTATAACTGATTACTCTTTCCAGTTTTAAAATTGACTGAAAAGTAGTAAACACATATTGTCTGATGGATGTATTAAGTGATATGTGTTTTCCCCCATCTTTTTTCACCTTTGCGATAGTTGATCTTTGCTTTTGCAATTTTATCATCCAATCATACTATTGTAGTCTGATATATTACTATTGCTCAGGGAAGATATAAAATAATGAGAAATTATATGCCTAAAGTTGGTTCACTTGGGCTTGATATGATGTTTAGGACATGCACTGTTCAGGTAAGGTGAATTTTACATTTTCAATTATCCAGCTTTTCTGAAGCAGATCCTTTAACTTTTTCCACGTCTATAATTAATAATAGGTTAATCTGGACTTCAGTTCGGAAGCTGACATGATCAGGAAATTTCGTGCTAGTCTTGCTCTGCAACCTGTGAGAATGTTAATACTTTGTCTTCCCCTGAAATTCTCTGCTTTACTTTTTTCTAACTAGTGAAGCAAATGAAACAGATAGCGACAGCTTTATTTGCAAATTCCCCCTTTACTGAAGGAAAGCCAAATGGTTACCTAAGCATGAGAAGGTTTTGAAAAGTTTTAGTATATAGTCATTTTTTCTTATTCTTCTGTGTTAAACCATTTAGTGATTTTTCTTTTAAAAATGAATTTGAACAGTCAAATCTGGACCGATACTGATAAGGACCGTACAGGCATGCTTCCATTTGTGTTTGACAACTCTTTTGGGTAAGCTTTGTTTGTATTGCACGGTACATACAAGTGCTCTTTGACTACAAATTTATTTGCTTAGAAAATCCTGTCCTATTATTGTGAACATTTTCATCTATTAGATCCTTGTGAGAAATCATCCTTTCTTCTATCTAGTTAATTTCATGATGGTATTTTTTTATGTGCTGCAGGTTTGAGCAATATGTTGACTATGCTCTTGATGTTCCGATGTATTTTGTTTATCGGAAAAAGAAGTACATTGACTGCACTGGAATGACTTTCAGGGTTTCCTTCTTTCCTTGATATAGTCTTGTAATTTGAAGCTTCTTCTGTAGCCCTTCTCCTTCACTCATGCATTCAAGCCTCTATGTTACTCCACATTCTTTTCTATAAAATCTTGATAAACTTTTTGGCCTCAAATTTTTTTTGTTGTGTCAGAATAACACTGTTCATGTTTTAGGATTTTATGGCGGGAAAACTTCCATGTATTCCTGGTGAACTGCCAACCCTTAATGACTGGGAAAATCATTTGACAACAATATTTCCAGAGGTCTATTGCTTAATTCGACAGTGATTTGCTTAAACTTCATATTTTCCTTTAAGCCACATGTAATTCTTTCCATTCAGGTTCGACTGAAGAGGTACTTGGAGATGAGGGGTGCTGATGGAGGACCTTGGAGGAGTTTATGTGCTCTGCCAGCATTTTGGGTAATTAGCCCTTTTATGTGCTTATGCACAATCCCTAGTAGTACCTGTGGAATGAAAATCAGTGTTTTGACTGCATTATATAAGTTGAAAACACACTTAAGGCTATGTGGCTGAATTTGAATAACATTATTTGGTGTTTCCAGCTTCGGTTGGTCCACATTGATATGGCTGTTGAGTGGACATGTTTAATAGTCCTTTGCTTTTTGGTGCTAGATATATTTACTAAACTGTATAATGATTTCTCAAGCATCACTTTTTCAACATTTCTATTACAACCATGTAGCTTATCCTTGAAGGGTAAGTTTCCTGCTGTGTAATTTTGATTCAACAGGGCATGTGTTTTGCCTATATTAATATGACTCTGTACATTTTCAACTTTCTCATGATCCGTATCTTCCTATTCAAGATGTCTGCATGCTTGCTCTCTTGCTTGTTGAAATTACAATATTAACTGTGTAATTTCTGCAAAGGTGCTCATTTCAAGTTTCATTCTTTATTCAGGTAGGTTTGTTATATGATGAGGTCTCACTCCAGAATGTTTTGGACATGATAGCTGATTGGACTCCTGAAGAAAGACAAATGTTGAGAAATAAGGTAATTGAAACCCTCCCCTAGCAAATAAATTATATGTCCATTTAGGAGGTGAAGAGTGTTTCCTTTTTTGTTATAAGCACTTTATGTCCTTAGATGTTCTAGGCTTGTTTTAGTGTCAGTCATATCTGCATACTTTCTGCCGTTTATTTTTAAAGCCCCAGCCATTCCCTGCAAGCAACCAAGTGGGTGTTAGTCTAATTTAGTTATTCTGGTTTTGTTTTACAACTTACTCTCAAGTCTCGATTTTTGGAGTGCAACTTAAGAATTCTCTGGTAAAATATTGATTCAAAGTTTTGCTTAGTTTATAATATTGAGATACATGCATACAACTTTTGCTTTGTCCTTCTGCAGTGCTATGACTGCAATTCTAAGTTCAAAGTTCTGTCTAGCAGGTTCCAAAGACTGGTCTAAAGACACCATTTCGGGATGGGTTTCTGTGGCATGTAGCAGAAGATGTTTTAAAGTTGGCAAAGGTAACATAGGATATTTCTTTCTGTTGTTTGCATTTGAAACCCTAAACTAGGCTTTTATTATTTCTACTTCTACTATGGTAGATTTTATTTTATTGTTTTTTAATTCAAATCCATTGTCATGTAGGATGGCTTGGAAAGAAGGGGCTTCAAGGAATCAGGGTTCTTGAATGGGTTGGCAGAGGTGGTTAGAACAGGTACCCAGTTGAGAGGTTGTGTATTGTTTACATTTTTTCATGGTATTTCTGTTTGCCAAGTCCGAGGTGTCAACCCTACTGACACATACTTATTTTGCATAAACACCCCTTTCCCCTAGAGATAAAAAAACAAGGGATGCTGAGATAGTTGAAATATTTCTATAGTTGAAGACTGTAATTCCTCATCATTCATAAGATTGATGGTCATGAAATAATAATAATGTGGCAGGTGTAACGCCAGCTGAGAAGCTTTTGGAGTTGTATCATGGGAAGTGGGGACAATCTGTTGACCCTGTTTTCGAAGAGCTGCTTTACTGAGATGAATCAGAGTCTTGTGGTACCTCAGCAAACATCTTTTGTTTGTAATTCGCTGTGTGACTTTGGATGTAATCGATACTTGCGTATTGAATGCTTTTATGTGCTTTTTACAGGAATAAATTATGATGTAAAACGTTGTTAGGAGGATTCTGATGTAACTGTCATTGAATGTAAGAAAGCATCATATGATATCGCTTTGTAACATTAGGTTTTACAGTGACAATTACATGCGTTGTTGTGGACAAAGATATGTGGCCTTTGGGTATAGGTGAGATCAGAGGCATGGAGATGTCTAATGCTCCTTTCAAAGGTAAGTTGTTGCTTGCAATGATGAACGGTCAATATCTTTGGCTTCTTTTTTCTGTTCGTAGAAATTAGGTGCACGGACACCGCCGCCGCCATCTTGCCGGCTTCGGCGACTAATTTCCGTGCTCTCTATCTATAATTCCGATCATCATTACCTTACTGTCTCAATTCTGTACAACTAATCTGTAACCTTAATCATGCTAGGGATGGCAACGTAACTCCGTTGGAAGACCAATTCGATCTTTTCAAGATCGATTGTATTTTTTAAAAAATTTGACTTCGGATTGGATAATAATAAAAAAAAAATTAAAGTTGATTTTAGATAAATTTAATTTGATTTGATTCGATATGTATATTTTAATTATTTATTTAATTATATATATTTATATATATAATTGATTTTATATTTATATTTAAAAATAATATTTTATATTTTTAAAATAATTTTATTAATTTTGAATCGAATTAAATTAAATGTATTTATATAATGTCAAATCAAGTCGTATTCATATATATTAAAAAAGTAAAAAATTATTCCTAACCATGTCACCTGAAACGTGAGTTGCGTATAAATCTTGATGACATTATTTTTTGGGTTGCATATGTATGGGAAAGCAAGAAGAAGATACGTGTAATAAAGATAAATCTTAACTGGATAACAAGCTAGAGTGGTTGCTGTCGAGGGAACAGCTTGACATATTTGTCTGAATTTAAAAAACAATGTCTCACCTATTTCTCATACCACACTTTTGGCGTAATAATCAAAACTGCCCTCACAAATTCTAAATATATTATGAGTAAAAAGAAAAAACCTCGAATTATTTTTATTTAATATTATTACATTAAGTTTATAAATTTATTATGTGTTTAAAAAAAACTTAAAACTGTTTTTTGTGTATTTACTTTTTGTAGGAAAATCAGCGACTAATTTTTAATTATTTATTTACAAATATGTTATTTGATATGTATAAAAATAACTTTAATAATTTTTAATTATTTATTAATTTCATAAATATTAAATTTATATTATAAGTTTTATTATATGCAAATTTTAATTAAATATCCTTAATAAAATTTAATTGTTTATTAATTTCACAAATATTAAATTTATATTATAAATTTTATTATATACAAATTTTAATTAAATATCCTTAATGAAATTTACTTTTAACCATTACTATATTACCAATTGTTGCAACAAATATGATAGTCCTAGCTTTATCATAGTAAATTAAACCAGAATTTCTGTGTATTTTTGTATGATTTAAAATTTTTTTACTTTACTAATGGCTACACCCTCCATTACAATTATCCATTTTTCTTTCATCACATCAAACAAAATCTCTATTCATCCCTAAATTAAGCCAACAAAATGTGAAACTTGTTGCTCTCAAATGTATTTTGGTAATATATTCGATGGAATGGAGGGGGGGGGGGGTTGAGCATTGGATTCCAGCAAGTAGGCAAGTATTTGGTTGTGCTGTGAAGGGCCTGGAAAGGGGGGGGCCCTGACAGATTAGTTTTATTTTGAGACGAGACAGATGAACTCTCTCATCCCTCTTAACAATTGAATCATCTTTGCCACCTCCTCTCATTACCTTTTTCATCTTATTCTTAACACACCTAATTTGATCCTTAAATCAGACATCCAATCTTTTAATGATTTCTAGGCTTTAACCACCTTATCAACTTGCCAATGTTTAGTTCCTCCTTCTTCAATATTGTTTTATAAGTTTTTTCAACACATTGATAGAGTTTGTCCATACATAATTACAACTAAATTAATACTAGAGGTTCTACTGACAGTTTTTTAATTATTAAATCAATAAAAAATAGTAATAGTTTCTCAATTAAGAGAGTCAAAGGGAATACAAATATATATATATATATTAACGAGCATACTGTGAGAAGTAAAAAATTGACATATTTTCATTCGGAATTATATTAAAGTTTATCAATATAATGAAATTAGGATTTAGTTCACTTAGTTTATATAATTATTTTTAAAAAATTATATTTAATTTGTTTAAAGTTTAAATTTTAATATTTATAATCTCTTTTCCTATTTCAAGCTATAATTTTTTTTTTAAATATAAACATTTATGATTTTCAATCTGAAAGAGATGTAATCACCCATTTAAGTTATTGCTAACCAAAAGGGATGTGCTCGTAGTATGATCATATTTGCTCACAACTCTAATTATAAGCATGCAAGTGTTGATTTCTGTTCAGTCAGACATTCATAGGAAAAGCAGAATTAATGAAGGTGTGATCAGGGGAGTCAATTTAAAGAAATGGGTATTTAGCTTTAGAAATATTGCTGATGGCAGATGGGGAATCACATTGGAGTTGGAGGATGGGTTGGCCATTTTTTGATTGAATATGGCCAGAGCAACCAACATGCATCTCACTGTCTCCTTCAATATCCAGCTCATAAAACTCTCATTGAAATTTGACAAGTCCTCTTCCAAACAAAGACACATGAAAACTATTTATTAATCTTTATTTGACAATAATTATATTTTTCACTAATCAACATAGAAGAAAAAGAAATATCATTGTCACAATCTTCACAAATCCTCCTATATCTGCTCTATATCTGCTCTTTGCCTATATAAGGCCACACCTCCCCAAGTTCATTGTTCAGTGCTCTCTCTTCTTCTTTTCAGTTCTTGAACATTTTGATCAAACACTAATTTCCTCTTAGTTTAAAATATCAAGAAAATCCCATCACCAAAAGAATGAGAGAAATTCTCCACATTCAAGCTGGTCAATGTGGTAACCAGATTGGTAGTAAATTTTGGGAAGTTGTATGTGATGAACATGGCATTGATGCCAAAGGAAACTATGTTGGTACATCTCGTGTTCAGCTTGAGAGGGTTAATGTTTACTACAATGAAGCCAATGGTGGCCGCTATGTGCCTAGAGCTGTACTAATGGACCTTGAGCCAGGAACCATGGACAGCTTGCGAACTGGCCCTTATGGACAACTGTTTAGACCTGATAACTTTGTTTTTGGCCAAAATGGAGCTGGGAACAACTGGGCCAAGGGACATTATACTGAAGGAGCTGAATTGATTGATTCAGTTCTTGATGTTGTTCGTAAAGAGGCTGAGAATTGTGATTGCTTACAAGGTATATATACACTTCACCTCTGTCAATTCTACATTTCAAGCAATAAAGATTAAAGACACATTTTATTGATAAGATATTTGATGTTAGAGATTTTCAGATTGCTTCATGTCTGTTAGTTGTCTGAAGCAAAACTTCTTTCCTAATTAATGCTTTAACTTTCTTCACTATGCCCTTTAACATTTAAACTTTTAGTCATTAGTTGTTTGGTGTTTTCTAATGAAATCTTACATGTAACTGTGATCAGGCTTTCAGGTTTGCCATTCTCTGGGAGGTGGAACTGGGTCAGGAATGGGGAACACTGCTGATATCAAAGATCAGGGAAGAGTACCCTGATCGGATGATGCTGACTTTCTCAGTCTTTCCTTCACCCAAAGTCTCTGATACCGTGGTTGAGCCCTACAATGCGACCCTCTCCGTGCATCAGCTGGTGGAAAATGCAGATGAATGCATGGTCCTTGACAATGAAGCTCTCTATGATATCTGCTTTAGAACTCTCAAGCTCACAAACCCCAGCTGTAAGTTGAAACACAACTTTTACTATTTCATTATTTATGTTCTTGTGTCAGACCATACCTTCATTTTATACAAGCCATACATATAAAAAAGACGTAATCCTTAATTATCATTAAACTACATAATTCAATGAGATTCAATAAGAGACTTAGATTTGTTTATTATTTGGGATTCAAAGTGTATACATAAATTAAATTAACAAATGAACTCAAAATTTAGTTTAATTTATTTATACAATCACATTTAAATTATTGCATCTAACAAGTCTGTTATTTAAATTTAAACATACGCAACCTTTTTTTTTTTTTTTTTAATTCTTTAAGTTGCTTAGTTTCTATTGTATCTTCACTTTAATATAACAAAAAGGAATATTTAAAATAATTCAAGCATCTAAAATTCATCTAAATAAATTAGGTTTTCCTTGTTTTAAATAAATAATATTTTATTAACAATTGCGTGATTTATTAATAGAGTGTTGAACTTTTAATTTAGAGATCAGAGTTCAAATTTTGATAATCTCAAATAAAAAATAAATAATATATTTAAAAAATTCCTGCCAGCTAAAGCAGGGTCCAAGGTTTGAGGACTCAATGCACTTTCTATGTCAAATTGCAAAGCAACCAATACATTTTTCACAAAAATTTAACTAGTAGTAATGAGATCTTTTTTTGTGCATGTATATATGAACAGTTGGTGACTTGAACCATTTGATTTCAACAACCATGAGTGGAGTCACATGCTGCCTTCGCTTCCCTGGGCAGCTCAATTCTGATCTCCGAAAACTAGCAGTAAATTTAATCCCATTCCCACGCCTACACTTTTTCATGGTTGGTTTTGCACCCTTGACATCCCGTGGCTCGCACCAGTACCGTGCACTAACAATCCCTGAGCTCACTCAACAGATGTGGGATGCCAAAAACATGATGTGCGCTGCTGATCCTCGCCATGGAAGGTACTTGACAGCCTCAGCTATGTTCAGAGGCAAAATGAGCACCAAGGAAGTTGATGAACAAATGATAAATGTGCAAAACAAGAACTCTTCCTACTTCGTTGAGTGGATTCCTAACAATGTTAAATCCAGTGTTTGTGACATTCCACCAACTGGGTTAACAATTTCATCAACATTCATGGGGAATTCCACGTCCATCCAAGAGATGTTTAGGCGTGTTTCGGAACAATTCACTGTCATGTTCAGGAGAAAGGCGTTTCTGCATTGGTATACCGGGGAAGGAATGGACGAAATGGAATTCACGGAGGCTGAGAGTAACATGAATGATTTGGTTTCCGAGTATCAGCAGTATCAAGATGCTGTGGCAGATCAGGATGGTGAAGAGCATGAGGAGGCAGTGGAAAATTAAGGGGTTTCTTTTTTCTTTTTCTTTTTTTTTTCGACTTATAGCCATGGCCAAAAACAAAAGTGGTGTTTGGGATTATTTTGTGATTGTCATTTGATGCTTAATAAGGGGGCCATGTTTCATTTGTGTTGGGACTTTGCTGTCCTTTCACTGGCTGATTCCATGTAAAATTTGCTTTTTTGAGTGTTTATATCTGTAAATATGTTCATTTGGGCTTGTTTATTGGAGTGTAAATTCTGTATGTTTTCGCCCTGTTTCTCCCCATTTCTATTTGATGATAATGATGACCGTCACCGAATTTGAAGTTCATCGAAGAAGCAAAAACCAGGACTTGCTGTCATCATGATATATATTATTAGGCAATTTAATGCAAATTGGTGGTGGAGGTTCTCCATTTAGATGATGGGAGCTTGATGTTTGAACGTAAAAGAAAATTACAAATTTCTTCTGAAACGCAAGTCGAATTATTTTGCAAACATCAACCCAAATTGGTGATTTGATGATCAAACATTTGAGCTAAAACTCCATTTTAATCATTTCACGAGTCATGAGGCTTCAATTTATCATTCAATTCCATTTATAAATGGACATGAAAAAATTCCATTCAAATCATGAATCTGAAATCAAATCTGAGGTAGAAAACAGCCAATTTCATCACTAGATGAGCAAATCAGTAGTACTGTACATAAATTACAAGCATAACATCTTCTATTCACCCTATGAAAATGCATTTTAAACAACTAAACCCTTCTCTACGTATAATATAATTTGTTCCCTACTTATTTCACCAAGATCATTGTATTCCTGTCAAACTGATCAAAACCAACCCACATCCAATATCTTGTAAAAGAATGTTTCAATCTGACCATGAACCAAACCAGTCATGCACAGAGAAGTTCGATGTTATATGTGTTCATCTTATCCCATGGTTTCTTTTGAGGTTAAAAACCTGTTCTCTTTCTTGCCTGAAAATTGAGAGGCGCCCAATGGATGGTCATCTTCAGGTTGATTGGAGAGTGGCTTATTTTAGCTTCGATCATTGTCTAAGAAGTTGCATTCTTTTTATTTTCATGTTCGGAACCCTCCCTGAGAGCAGCTTGTGCCTGGTCTTCCTTTCCTAGAGCAAATAGAGCAGCAGCTTGCAAGTAGGATGCAATATGCCAAATAGGAGATACCATTTGTGCTTGCATAGCATCATTGAGGGCTTCTTGGGGCATGTCACTCATGAGGTAAGACAAACTACGCCGAGCATAAACTGTTGGGGAAACCATGGTTCCAATATCAATGAACTGTGACATGAATATACTAACTGTCAGCTCAAAATTTGATTATGAATGTTATAATTTACAAAACATTTACACCTCTTTAGAATCACCAACCATGGTCAATGATTAGCTTATATTTTATACCTTCTAGCTTAAGATTTATGACCTTTTATTAGTTTTTAGTTAGTTATTGTCTTAATTCATTCGTTAGTATAGGTAAAGAATTAATTTAGAAATTGAAGGAACTTTGAGGACAAAAGCCCATTACAGCCAATAACTGATGCTGACAAATGCTGGAACGTGAATGAAAGAGCTGAACACATATATAGAATGCCACGTTAAAAAAAAAAAAAAAAACTTTTCTCAAGAGCCAACTAATTCAGCAGCTAAGTTATCAAAGAGGATATCATTTAATTTCGGGGAAACTTAGCTAAAGGAAAGTCTAGCCCAAATCAAAGACCTAGTAATTGACTTTGAGTATGAATTTGATCAGCGGCGGTATTTTGGCCATATCTTCCTACTAATTTGGATGATTCAAACAACTCTGAAAAGATAACAAAAATCCCTAAAATTTTGTATTTCACGTAGAAGACCAAACTCAGATGTTTCAAAGGTCAAAGGGATCTTTTTAGCTCCTTGGAGGTGTAGGGGGACCTTTTACTCAATTCCAATTACTAGTTCTTTTTCTTTATTATTTTTCAAACTCTTAAGATGTTTGAGACCATGTTTAGTTTTCTTTCTTTTTAGCAAGAATTAATTTTCTTTTCTAAGGTTATGATGTAGCCTAACTATGATATTTTGATATCTTATTTTTTGCATTAATTGATGGTTCATTTATACTCATGGTTTAGTTTTCTCCACTGATCTTAATGCTTCTAATAATTGGCCTCTATTTGGTTGTTCTGAGGTGCATAGCAAAACCGGAAAGATATTTATGTGTTTAGTTTATTATGTTGAATGCCATAAGTTTCATGTGAAATAGGAATACTTTCATGGCTTGCGTTGTCGAGAACCATAGAACTTAATGAATTCTTATTAGTTTTTAATTCACACAGAAATATAGTGAGTGATCGTCTAAGGGTGTTTTACCATGAAAAAGGGTACTGAAAAGGTTAGGGATTATCGACTATCAACTGGGATAATAAACCTAATTAATAAGAATAGAAGAATCAATATGGATTAGTTATGGGGAAATCAGAAACCCTAGAGTTTAATCATTTGAAGTTTCATCTATTTGATTTTGAATTTGTTTTCTTTTGGTTTACAGTTTTGTTTTTCTTGTTTTCCTCATTATGAACTCCTTTTCGAATTATTGAAATAAAATTAGAGGTATGTTAATTTTGGTACTTAGTTCAAATCTCAATTTCTATAGGAATGATATTCTACTCACTCTATTACTTATTTGCGATAATGTGAACTTGCGTTTAAAAAGTTCACAACACAAAAAAGTACCAAAATTGACAATTTATCAAAAATTACAGCTCTCTATCATTTTCAGGATGCTAATGGCAGTATGGCGCTAATATGATCCTAGACACACTTTCGCAGTCTGGATGATAGTAAGAATCATAACAAATAAGCAGCAGAAATGGTGCAAGGTTATACAAAATACTGTGCAAAATCAATTCTGACTATCTCAATCTACCTCCTACAAAAGTCCCACCTAGCAAGAAGACATCGGTGGGTAAAACATTTGACATTCAGAGAAGAGAAGAATAAACTAAGTCTAACCTGGGTATAGCATTCAATGGCAGCTCTAAACTCTTTATGCCTAAAAGCAACATCACCCTTTTTCTTCGATGTCAATGTTTCCTGCATCTGGTTAGTCCACATCTGGAATGAAAGCTGCGAACCGTCAAAAAAAGCAGTGAGAAAAGCACTCACCATACAGCTGAATAAGCAATATAAAACCAGTGGTCATTTAAATGAAAAATTTGAGATGAAGATGCACTATTAACAAATTAGTATAACATAAAATGCAAATCAGAATTCTGTTATATCAATGCATTGCAATGGACAAAGCAAGAGCAAAGACATGTAACAAATTAGATCATGTATTAATAAACTGATCATATTAGTATGTACGGCAGTACGAGTATGCAAGCATGTATCCATGTGTATGTCTATGGATGTATATGCACGTATTTGTATAGATATATGTAGTAAGCTAACTTGAACTACTAATTCTATGCCACTGACAATAATGACTCTCAACCTAACCACCAGCACAAGAAACAGTTGTAACTATACCTTGATTCATTTATGTGCATTGGCCACGCCCAAAACCACAAAAGAGAAGGATCAATATTTCAAAGTCAAATCATGTTAAACACTTTAAGAAAAAATGGTTATATTGACAATTTAAATTGCATCCCTAAAAATGATATAGAAAAGTCAATATCCTTGCAACAGCAACCACAAATTAACATAAAGAAAATCAGAACTTTGGAATTCTGATGACTAATTAGAAACAAGATTGAAGGCGACTCGTCTTTTTTTGGGGCATAAATATGAGTAAGACCAAGGGTGAAAGGAGATTTGAACCTTGGACCTTATACCTCCCAGGGAGAGGTAACAACCACTAGCCTAGCCTTGATTTGTCAAGCTTGAAAACCAAATAAAATTGAAAAAAAGTTCATTTTTCATACAAGAAACGAACCTCAGTAGCAACACCCTCATCATCTCTATATCCAAGTTTTTCTAAGACCTCATGAATGGCAGTCAAATCCATTCTCAAGCAGGCTTCCCCAAGCGGTGATAAAGGTACAGCATCAGCACCATGAAGTATGCCCATTAATACATGAGACGGAACCTTCAGAATTAATTGAAAAAAGGCAACTCTAGTTAATGGAAAAATATTATTCAACTTTAGAACAGATAAGACTTAATAACCGTTCACATAAAATGGCATTCACAACTATTTGGAGTTGATATGATAGTATATGTTAGGATGACCAACTGCATCTATCTTGCTGGTATGGAATGAACTACCAAAACAAAAAGACATACAAGCTATAGAATGAGGATTTGTCTCTCTCTGGACCAATCAAGCAAATCAAAAGAAACTGTAATTCCTATTAAGAAAAGCAAAGGCTTGAAAAGAGAATATAACTTTCTATGGCCGCCATATACCGAAAAATGATTTTAGAAGTGTAAATTTGGAAATAATAAGATGAATTTACGTGAGAAATAAAAGACAGACAACCTTAATGTCCCTCTGAAGAGGAACTAGAGCAGCAACTAATGACTTTGGATTTGGCCGTTCCCGGGGCTCATATTGCAAACATCGTGATGCTAGACGCACTAACTCAGTCCCATCATCATTTGAAAATTGCCCTTCCAAACAAGAATCTATCAGAGTCTGAATGTTCCTGTCACGTATAAGGTCCAGTGCCTGAAGGAAGTGATACAACTAAATGTTAGGTATACCACAGTTAGCTTAACTACACCATCCTAGTATGTAAAACCAAGCAACAAAATTACTACTATAACTTTCATTTTGGCAGGCACAAAGTGGCATTCCCATAACCATGAACTCTCAAAACAATAATAACAACAAAAAGAACTGCTTACAAAGTTTTATTCCATCAAACACGTATGGACCTTGACAGGAATCAACTTAACTGGTGTCATTTATTGGATCCAGCCTGAACCTTAACAAGGGTCCAAAAAAAACCTTTTGATGTAGTGTTACTGTGAGAAAACATTTATTTATAGCTGGTTGTAATCTTGTAATCTGTATATTTATATTTGTATATCTAGAATTAAGTATTTATATCCCTAGAATTAAGGACAAAAAATTAGGATAGACAATCACTCAATCATAGGATCAGTTTTTAGGAAGATTTAGTTTCCTAGTTTAACCCCTAGTTAGTTGTATATAAACCTAAGGTTCTTGTATAATTCTTAATGAGCAGTTTTTCAATATACATTTAGTTTTACTCTTAGTTTTTCCACATGGTATCAGAGCTTTAGGGTCTTCTTGGGAAGCAAAATTTTCAGCCTTCATTATTGACTTCTATTTTGGGCCCTCATTGTTGAACCCTATTTAGGCCTTCATTGTCGAACCCTGTTAAGGCCTTCATAGCTATTTTATTTTTCCCTTCTTTAGCCTTCATTGCTAAGAGTGGTTTCTGGTTATATCTTAAGACATGTTTCAATTCTAAGAAAGATATCACTACCACCCAATTTGAGGAAGTGTCAACTAGGAAAATCATTGGAGTACTACAGATATCACGAAAACAAGGAGAGTTGGACAGAGAATAGATTGAAAAGCTGAGAAACCTATTGAAAACCCTTGAAAAACCTATTGTGGTACGTTCCTTGGGTAAGGTGTCTAGTTCAGGTAAAGCTTCTAGTTCTCATGGATTAAATGTCTCGTTTAAGCCTATTACAAGTTCTTGGCTCATTGACTCAAGAGCCACAGACCATATGACACATTCCTCACAGAAGTTTAGTACATATACCCTGTCTCCTAGTAATAAGAAACTTGTTGTTGCAGATGGTTCACTTATTACAGTGGCAAGATTAGGAGATGTTCAAATTAATCCCTCATTTGTTCTGAAAAATGTTCTTACATATTCCTGGATTGTCTACTAATCTAATATCTATACAAAAACTTACCAGAGATATGAACTGCAAAGTGACTTTTTATCCCTCTTATTGTGAATTTCAGGACCAAAATTCGGGGAAAAGGATTGGACTTGCTAAGGAGAAGGATGGATTCTACTATCTTGAGACATCAAACAACACCAGTAATATCAAGAATAGTTTACCTTTGTCATTTCTTTCTAAAAAAATCTTCCAATAAAGACAAAATCTGGCTTTATCATTTTTGTCTTGGACATCCTTCTTTTGGAACTTTGAGAAACATGTTTCCTTCTTTGTTCAAAGGATTAATCATCGAAGATTTTCATTGTGATAGTTGCGAACTTGCAAAGCACAGTTCCAATTAGTAACAAAAGAAGTTCTACTCCCTTTTACTTGATTCATAGTGACATTTGGGGTCCTTTTACGATTCCTAATATTTCTGGTGCAAGATGGCTTGTTTCATTCATAGATGATTGTACCAAGGTGACTTGGGTATTTTTACTTAAATTTAAATAAGATGTGAATAGTGTGTTTTTAAGCTTTCAAAACATGATCCAAAATCAATTTAGAGTGGGAATCAAGAGATTTAGGTCTAATAATGCAAGAGACTATTTCAACCAGAGTCTATCCACCTATTTCCAAAAGGAGTGGATTATCCATGAGTCATCTTGTGTTAATCCTCCACAGCATAATGGAGTGGCAGAGAGGAAAAACAGTCATTTACTAGCCACAACCCAAGCCTTCCTTTTTCAAGCAAATGTACCCAAATCTTACTGGGAGGAAGCGGTTCTCACAACCTCACACATTATAAATAGGTTACCTTCAAGGGTTTTGGGATTTAAAACTCCTATGGAACTACTTTCATAATTCTATCCCAACCTCAATACCACAAACAACCTCACATCTAGGATATTTGGTTGTACATCATTTGTTCATGTTCACAGTCATAATAGGGGAAAGTTGGATCCAAGAGCAATTAAATGTATCTTTGTGGGGTATTCATAAACTCAGAAATGGTATAAGTGCTATCATCCTCCTACCAAAAAATTTTATGTGTCTGCAGATATCACTTTTAAAGAAAGTAAACCATTTTTTACTCAACCTTATCTTCAAGAGGAGACTTCATTCATGGAAGATACAGATAAAGACTTCTTTTTGCTTGATTTGTCCTCTTCAACATTTTCACCCATTAATTCTTCTGAGTCGAAACCTGTTTCTGCTGAGCCCAAGTCAAACACTAAATTGAGTCTGAACCCATTCCAAACACAGAAGATATGACAAAGGACAATATTGTTCTTGATTCTATGAAGGAATTACAGGTGTACTCAAAAAGAAAAGTTTCGAATCCTGAACCAGTGCCAGTCCAAGAACCTGATCCTAACTCTAGAAATGAGGTAACCACAATTTTTGACTCTATATCTCAAAATGAGCATAAATCTCCTAAAACTATAACTAGTGATTATGATCTGCCTATTGCCATTAGGAAGGAACCAGAGAATGTACTAAGCTTCCACTATACCCAATCTCTAATTTTGTGTCATTTGAAAAATTCTCACTATCCCACAAAAATTTTCTTGTGAGCCTAAACACTATTTTTGTTCCAACTACATTATTTGAGGCATTATCCAATGAGAAATGGAGGCAAGCCATGAAAATAGAAATTGAGGCCTTAGAGAAAACTAAGACATGGGAACTGGTAGGGTTGCCTAAAGGAAAGAATCTAGTGGGGTGTAAATGGGTTTTCACTGTAAAATACAAGGCGGATGGTACTATTGAAAGGTATAAAGCCAGGTTAGTGGCTAAGTGCTACACTCAAACCTATGGAGTGGATTATCAGGAAACCTTTGCTCCAGTTGTCAAGATGAATACAGTTAGGATTTTGTTATCATTGGCTGCAAATTACAATTGGCAGCTTCAACAATTTAATGTAAAGAATGTTTTTCTACATGGTGATTTGGAAGAAAAAATATATATGAAGGTTCCACCGGGATTTGGAGGTCATCTAGAAGCAAACAAAATATGCAAGTTGAAAAAGGCTTTATATGGCCTTAAACAGTCTCCTAGGGCTTGATTCGGGAGATTTACCAAAGTGATACTAGCAATGGGATATAAACCGAGTCAAGGAGATCACACATTGTTTATCAAGCACTCTGATTCAAGGAGAGTCACAATTTTATTAGTGCATGTTAATGATATAATTGTAACTAGATATGATGAAAATGAGAGAGAATCTCTAAAACATTGTTTGGCTAGAGAATTTGAGATAAAAAAACGACAAAGATTGAAGTACTTCCTAGGAATTGAAGTAGCTCACTCACGGTATGGTATTTTCATCTCACAACAGAAATATGTGATGGATCTTCTAAAGGAAACTGGAAAGCTCGCATGTAAACCTGCAAATACCCCTATAGATTTTGATTATAAAATTTGAGAAGCTAATGAAGATGCTGCTGTAGATAGAGAGATGTACCAAAAATTAGTTGAAAGACTCATTTATCTCTCACATACTAGACCTGATATCGCATATGCTGTGAGTGTGATAAGTCAATTTATGCATAGTCCTAAAGAAGTCCGTGTATTGCACTATTTGAAGGCCAATCCTTGAAGAGGTATCTTATTCAAAAGAAATTTGGGGCTACTTCTAGAAGTATATACAATGCTGATTATGCAAGTTCAGTAACTGATAGGTTATCCACCTCAGGCTACTGCACTTTCTTAGGTAGTAATCTTGTGACTTGGAAAAGTAAAAAACAGAATGTGGTGGCAAGATCAAGTGTTGAAGCAGAGTTCAGAGCAATGGCTCACGGAATTTGTGAACTACTATGGTTAAAGATTATCCTAAAAGACTTGAAGATCAAGTGGGATGGACCAATGAGACTCTACTGTAATAACAAGTCTGCAATAAGCATTGCACACAATTCCGTGCAACATGACAGAACAAAACACATTGAAGTAGATTGGCATTTCATAAAGGAGAAACTAGATAGTGGATTGATTTGTACACCTTATGTATCAACCAAAGGTCAACTTGCAGATGTGTTGACTAAAGCTCTCAGCAGTGCAGCATTTCAAGAAATTATTTCCAAGCTAGGAATGAAAAACACCTATTCACTAGCTTGAGGGGGAGTGTGGGAAAACACTTATTTACAACTGGTTGTAATCTTGTAATCTGTATATTTATATTTGTATCTCTAGAATTAAGTATTTGTATCCCTAGAATTAAGGACAAAAAATTAGGATAGACAATCCCTCAATCATAGGATCAGTTTTTAGGAAGATTTAGTTTCCTAGTTTAACCCCTAGTTAGTTGTATATAAACCTAAGGTTCTTGTATAATTCTTAATGAGTAGTTTTTCAATATACATTCAGTTTTACTCTTAGTTTTTCCACAGTTACTTTAAGAAAATTGTCATGAGAACCATTGTTCAAAGTTTAGTTGTCTATCACACATACTATGGATCTCTAAATGAAAACCCTCAAAAACATCAACTTACAATCCTAAAATTGACAAACATAGTCCTTTATCATGAATCATGTTTCAAACAGATACAAAATAAAAGACACGATACCCATCTTCATGTTGGACTAATGACATCTCCATAGAAAGATAATACAAGAAAAACAGGTATTCTGCAAGAAGTTTGTTGCATCAGAATGTCTCTAGTATACTTACATGACTTGGAGGAATATGTTTTCCACTGAGAAGATCAAGCAGAAGGGTGCCAAAACTATACATTACACTTTCTGGTGTTACTCTTCCTGCAGACACAAGAACAATTTAGAATAATAGACAATCTAAAAAAGAAGTGAATGATATTACTACCATAAGACTGGATGTAAATAGAGTATTCCAACAAAGTTAATAGAGCCACACAACCCGACAGGTGAGAGTTAATAGCACCGTCAGATATTACCACATCAACATTTATAAACATCACATAGCATACCTGCAGTCTGATATAAATAGTATTTCTACGCAGAATTCTACCACAAAATGGTATTATGCAGTATCACCTTAAGAAAATATACCTTCTACATAATCTGCTTGTCATATAAATCAATATGTAATGCCTTAAATGAAAACTAATAGCATGAACAAAGGAAAACAGTAATTCTCAATATGTAAGCCACTAACCTATAAAATATTGCATAAAGTGATGATAGATTACAAAACAACTAAGAAAAATCCAAATAATAATAAAAAAGGTCACAGGTAAAAATCTTATTTAACAGCTTGATTAACAAATTCCTAACTGGGTTTACTTAATGGATATTCAACAGCCAATTCCATAAATACAACCATTAAAAATCCAAATATGATGCTAGTAAATAAAGATTAGCATGCATGTAAACAAGCTTATTGCTTGTTCAAGAGGATAAGCACCTGTCCTCAAATACTCAGGAGGAGTAAATGCCAGGTTTGTACTGTAACTTTTACCATCTCTACTGTTCTTCATCAGACCAAAGCATGAAAGTCTAGGGTTGCCATCCTGAAATTATTATGCAAAATAACTAATGAAGTTATACTAATTTATAACAATAGAAGAAAAAAAAGAATTTTAAATAACATACTTACATCATCGAAAACAATTCTATAAGCATTTAGGTCATGATACAGGGCACGTCCTTTGCTGGTGCAGTATTCTAGAGCTTCTGCAAGATGCAAAGCAACCCTTAGTCGCATTGCCCATTTCATTGGTTGTGCTTCCCCTGAAAACACATAAGTTTAATTATAAAGATAAGTCTGAAATAGCCTTTCTTTTTTACAATGATCCAGCTATAAAAAATGAAAGAAACAGAAACTAATGGCTTGAAAAAGGAAAGAACCATATATCAACTGATATTGACAAGTTATAGATTCATTTCAACAAATAAGGCAGCCGTTTCAATGGAGAGGGAAAAACTTAAATATAAACCAGATGCTAAAGCTGAAGCAAGGAGACCAAACATGAACCTACAATGGAATAGGTGTTTTGCCAATGTGTCATTAGGCATAAATTCTGTGACAAGTAACCTTTCATCACCTTCACAGCAACAACCAAGTAAATTTGCCAATGTGTGGTTCCGAAGCTGTCCAACAGCTCTTGCTTCTTCCTAGAGTTATAGAAGCTGAAGTTAGAAGCCACGAGTTTTATAATGCAAACCTAGAATATTACTATAATTTTACACAATAAATTTGATGACACCAAGAAGAGACAGACTCTAGTTAGAACAAGTATTCATGAGGGTTAAAATAAGAGAAGTTTGATATACAAAACATGCATAAAACATATCAGCATCTAAACTTAAAGAGGCAAATCCCTCCAAGAAGACAACCTTCCTCAAAGAACTTAAATTCATAAGTTCAACATCTAATACAAATAGAGAGAGTGAGAGACTTCTCCTTTTCCTCTGTTCTTGCATCGTTCAGAGATGAGCACTTAGGGTATGATTGACATGAAATCATGAAAAGAACATACTACATGTTCAGCATTTGCTTACCAAGAACTGCCGGGCATCAGGCCATGCAGATCTATTAAATCGTTTAACAGCAATCCGCCTTTGATTTTCCAACTTGCCCTTGTAAACTACATTAGGAGCTTTCTCACCATGTTCTGAAACTATATTCTCCACAGCAAATCCAGATGTAGCCATCTTGAGTGTTTCAATTGAATATTCACGGAATGCAGGCAAATCATCAACTTCACCCTTTTCCTCATTTTCTATAAGACAACATAATTTAGTATTAAAACCAGCCTCGATTAGCATAATCATAATCAATAACCAAACTTACTATTCATACTTACCATCATTATCAGCTGCAGGAATTGATCCATTCTGATCCGAACTCCAACAACACGCAGATAGTTTTGAACACCTACAGCCCATCCCAATACCTCAATGGATCTCTTTAAACAGTAGCAAATCAATTGAGGGTCCAAAATTTACCAAACTTTTTGTACGGTTTCAATGTGTAAACTCAGCTTCACAAACAAGCTTCATCCAAGTAATTTTCACTGACTTTTAACCAACTTAACCAAATATCCTTTTATTTTGAAAAATGAAGTGTAAAGCGAATCCCCCAATTGACCTGCAACATAAAAAATTGGATTCAAATATTCCATTTTCAAAACCATCCATAAAAAAGAAAAGAAGCTAAAGCTAAGAATTCGAATCTTATATATTCACATTCAATAGTATCCTTCCACTAAAATCTAAAACCTAGAATCAAATTATTAATCCTAATTGAAACCATACCCTTTTACTCAGCTTAATTATCCGTTTCATTTCAACTAAAATAAAAGCAAACCATTTCGTTTTCAACACTATTTTCGAAACACTTGTGTTTCGAGTAACTTTCTAAGCAACCAAACAAAAAAAGAAAAAAAAAAGGAAAAAAGGAGAAACAGAATTGTAACGTTACCTTTAGCAGCAGCAAGTTGCTCCGTTGAGTCAACTCGCTTTCCCCCTTAGTCAATGAAAGCTTAGCTTCATAAAACTTCAACTTCTCTGTAACTTCAAAACAATTCCTCTCATCAAATCATAAATAATAATAATAAAAACAAATAAACGTAGAATTTGAGAAGAACCTGAATCAGCCCAAGAGATTCCCGATTCTTTCTAAAAATAAGTTAAAAGGGTTTTTCCCTTTTGTATGTTTATTTGATTCTTTTACGATTTCTTTTCAAGTAATGAAAGCTGCCTTTGAATCTGGTAAAGTTTGAGTTCTTTCAGTGTTAACAATCAAAGGGCTCCCCTTCCCTAGACTTTGCGAATCAGAATTTTTCAGAGAGCGTTGAGATTCGGATTAGAAAATATGGATATAAAAATATTTATCGAAATTTAAAATTACCGTGAAAATAAAACAAAATAAAATAAAAATACGAAGAAGCAAGAAATCGTTTTTGTTTTCATTTTATTTATTTTCCACCGACATGACCAGTTCTTCATGCTATACTTTTCCACGCGCAAGTGCCCCTCTCTTTGGAAAAAAAAAAAACGAAATTTATTTTATTTTATAAGGTTAAAAGGTAAATTTGCCCTCATAATATGGATAAATATTAAATTTTGTCTCACATTTGATAGTATATTTTTATTTAATTAAAAATATAAATGAATTAAATATTAATAAATTTTAATTTATTTATAATTTATTTATTTAATTAATAAATTTTAAAATATTATTTATGATTATTTATTAAAATTAATAAATTAATATAAATAAATTATTCATTGAATATTTTGTTTGTTTATGATATTAAATTTAATAAAAAATATAATATTCCGTCAATGTTATATTATTATATTTAAAATTAATTTTGAATAAAATTAAAAATATTTTTTATGTTAAAAACAAATTTTTATGTTCACAAAGGTTTTTATGAAATTTATATTCAAAAAGGTTTTTTATTGAATGTTAACATTTAGCAGAATAAAGATTTGAAGAAAATAAGATTAGACCAGAAGCAAATAGAGAAAATAGAATAAAATATTTGTGATTTTTCATTCATAACTATCGTTTACAGCCCTACTGATATATAAACTGACATTTTTAACGGAAAGAGAGAGTGGCAGAGAGTATTTCAACATGTGCTACAATTCTCTAACAGATTCTATTCAATTTCAGCTGACCAAAACGAAAATCTATAACACATGCTATAACAGAATAATTGACGGTTGCCAACACAATTTCCATAACCAACTGCCATGTTTTCATTAGGAGGGTAATAGATTAAGTTAAAATTGATCGAATTTGAATTTAATTTTAAATTTAATACTTGAAATTTAAATTAAATTTGATTAAATTTAATTTTTTAATTTAAATTTGATTTAAAATAAAAATTAAATTATTTAAATTCGTTCAATTAAAATCGATTAATATACAAAAATAAATTTAATTTTTATATTTAATAAAATTTTAATTATTTGTATTTAAAATATTTTATTAATTAAAATAATTAAAATATATTAAAATATAAAAATTAATTAAGCTCGTGACTTATTCTAACTGATTATAAAAATGTCAAATTTGATTCAATTGATAAGTCAAATTATTCGAATTCGACTTAATAATAATTAAATTAAATTTAAATTTTATTCGAATCGAACTCAAATAATTGACGAGTATTAATATATTATTTACACTCTTAATCACCATAAAGGTTACACCATCCTTCAGCTCCCTTCTTGGCTCTGCTATTCAGCTCACTCTCTATTGTGATCAGCTCTGCTTCTTCTTGCATTAGCTCCACTTTGAACTTCCTCAAGAATCCTTCTGCTATTATTTTCTCCTTAATCACATTTGTAATTGTTCAATTTTAGTTAGCGTGTCCTTGAACAGTTGAAAAGAGAACTGAGGTAGATGTTATTATTGTTAGAGAAGTGATAATGAAAGGTGAGATAAAAGCAAATGGACACACAATCATTTTTGTAATCCCGAATTATAGCGATCCGTCTTTGTCATTTTGCAAAAGTTGGCTGCTTTCATCCATTGATTCCAGCTAGCTTCTGTATTAAGGGGAACGCTTTACGTCTCAAAACGATCCACTAACGAGCAGGGATGGAACACCCCAGCTGATTTCATTTTTTTGCCCAAAATATATTAAAATTATTGAACTTGCTAAATTAAAAATATTTTTGTGCGGTGTATTTTAGTGTCCAAAAAGTAAAATAATTTTTTTTCTCTTAGAGTATAAATCAATGACCAAATCAAAACATTTTAATTATTTTTATCGAATTAAAGTGTCAAATTGATCTAAAATTTTAAGTTTCATATCAATTAAATTATCTTAAAAGTCCACCTATTTGCATTTGAGAGTATAAATTTGTAATATTTGAGTGAACTATTAGTTATCAGCTTAGTTTAAGTTTAAGATGTCAATCTTAATCCCTTTACACCTAATTAAAGTCGCTTAAGTCTAAAATTTCTTATTACATAAGTATAAATAATCTCTCTAAAGTATTTTTAAACTACTAAAACTTTTAGTTTCAAAGCTTATATATAGTCTTATTTATTTTTTCTATTCATTGATCGAATTATTAAATATCAAAATACAAACATTAAAAAAATGATCAATTTTTATCGTTGACCGATTTCCTTCTTTTATATCTTTCCATTTTTTCCATCATAAATAGTTCGACACTAACAATTTTCATAACTTAACAATATTAAATTTACAAAATTTATGATTATGTGCTTAGTAATTTCAACTTGGTTAATTTTCAAATAATAATGTTTAACTACTTAATTTTGTTGAGACAAGTTTATCTCATACAATAAATTATTTAAATTATAAGTACTTGTTCATGGTCTTAATCAATATTGTTTTAACAACTGGATGGAATTTGAATTGATAAGACCTTGATTTTCAGTTCAATTAAAACTAATTGAATATTCAATTGATGAGATTTAATCCAATTCAATTGGATGGTTGATATAACATTTTCGAATCAAACAGATTATCGATTTTTAATTGAACCAATCCAATCAATCAATTCGATTTTTAAATCACTTATCTCAAAACAACTAGTTGTCGTTCATTAGCATTTCACAAGTCAATGATCACGCTGGTTCAGAGCTGTGTTCGATGATTCCAGACTGTAGCAACCTTGGATGGTAAGGCAGTGATATGATTGACTTCCAATTGAAATGGTCCACTTTGGAAAAAAAAAAAAAAAAAGGGATATGATTGATTAAAAGTCTCAAATTTTATAATTTTCTCTATCAGAGGACTAGTTTGCATGAAAATTTACTTTTAAATAAGTGTCAATGATCTATTTAAATGACAGTGACTAAATTTCAGTAATTAAAACTTAATCACGAATAATTTTAAATAAAAAATAGTGACTAAAAGAAATTAATATGATCAAGATTTAATCAGTTCATCATCACTAAAAAAAAAAGATATAAAAGAAAATGATAGACTATTAATTTTTTTTAGAGTATATTTGAATTTCACTTAACTTTCGGTGAAAGTGAAAATTTGTGTTTAATAATATTATACATCTATTTGGATGTTAAAGCTGTGATATGATTGAAGACAGTTATACCTTTCATTGAAAGCTTTTGGTGCGGTTGGAAGATAATTTTTTTTTCTATTTTCCTTTATATTCTTATAATTTGATTTTTTAAACCTTGGACTTTCATAAAAGAAGAAAAATAATATCATGAAAAATAAAAAATAAATCAACCGTTACAAATCTCTCCATCCGATATTCTATCTATCCCTGACGCATGCACACCAACGGTTATATAGAAGCTAAAAACGTATTAGCAATTCCACTCATCATAACGTATTACTATTAGAAGCTGGTTGATCTCTTGGGCTGGATTTTCCCGAGATTCCAAAGCTTCAAAATGTTTGTTCTACGCTGCATTGGTGCAATGAAGTCCTTTCGATATGCTATTTGACTCTTTCTTATAAGGTAACAATTCTTAATATTTGTCTCAATGTCTGGTGCTTTGTTTTGCATGACCTAGTTCCTTATAATATTTTTTTTCAAAAGGGGGTGGGGAAGGGTAGGGTTGCTACTGATCTAAAAATTAGTGGTTAATATTGCAAAAAATCTAGTTAGACCTTGTTTAGTTTTGTTCTGGTTATTTGGTTTTAGGCTCCTCCTCTCTTCTGCCATCACAAATATTGTACATCTTTTAAGTTTGTGGTGTTTTTTCATGGGCTCAGAAACCTTCTTGAGTGCTTTGTTTCTTCCTTATTGACCACATCTAATGGTGCGTTTTCTTTCTGTTTCACAGGATGTTGAGAGTTTGATGGACATTGCGGAGCACCTTTTTATCATGCGATCTTCAGGTAATTTGTTGAGCTCATAAATTTTTGGAGCGAAATGGCTTAAGAATGTGTCGGAGGTGATTTCTGCACCCGTAAAGCGTAAAGGATGCAAGCTGAATGATGCTGAGGCAATGCTTGCTGAATATGAGGTATTTTTTGTTGGAATTTAAAGCTTCCACATGCGCACTTGGGAGTTGAGATCGTTATTTCATTTATCCTGGCATTTGAACTTCTCTTTAGAATTTATACCTGTATCTCCCATGTAGGGTATTAGTATCATCTTCCCAATGATGCTTGCCCAACTTACAGATGCTACCTACAAACACAGGTGGGTCTTTTGAATGTTTAGCAACTATCCGTTCTAACTTTGACACTAATAGTTAACTTTTGGATTATCTGTAGCTTTTGTTTCTACTTGTAGTTTGGTAATATAACTACTAATGCTGTGATGAACGGTTTTTGTATTTTGCTGGGGCCCTTGTTTCAAACTTTTTTTTTGTTCTAAATTTAGCCCAAATGCTTGTAACATCCCTCCGTTTACACTACTTATAAGAGGCCTAAAAGACATTCTTCTTGTTTTTATGATTAAGTTTTTATGAGGCTGGTGAATTATGATAATCTGTTTATATGCATGTGTATATGCATGCTTATTGCTGTGGAATCTTGTATGGTATCTTGCTACTAGAGATGAAATTTAGGATGATTGTTGATTATATGTTTAACTGTAATTGTAGGTTGTGGCAAGTGGAAGTGCATCAGTATTTTAGTTTAGAGTTAGGAGAGAAGTCATGGTCTCAAATAATGCAGCTCAAGGTATGCCGTGGATATTTGCTGTGTGAAGTTTGAACAGGATATTACAAATTACATCTAGAAATGAGATAAAGTTTATTTGAGTTCCTGATCTATAGTCCTGGTGGTTTTAATTTTGCAGCTAGTCTAATCTAGTAAGGTTTTCTAGGAAAGTTCAAAAAGAAAAACCTACTGCCTGCTTTTTTTTCCTAGGTAAATTTAATCGGATGTCCGTATGCTATACTCTTTTCATGTTATGATCATGAAAGGAATGACATTTTACAATGAAATTGTCTGTTCTATTATCTGTTGTTTCCTAGTCATATTACGTATTCGAGAATTCAGAATGTCTTCTTTGAGCTGGAAATTTTGGCTTAAATGCTGATGTTTATTGTGGTTAGCTTCCCTTAAAAAGTTGGTATGTAATTTATATTGTTTAAATTTAAAAGTGATGATTTGATTTCTTATAAACTTCACATTCAGGAGCATGGGAAGGCTTCATTCTTTACTTGCGCAGAATTAGATACGGTCTTCTCCGAAGTTGAAAAGATTAAGAACTGGAAACAACGCTGCATGGATGCTGTAGTAAACTTTGCTGGAGATGAGAACTCCTTGCTCTGTGCCTTACAGAAGGTTTTAGTGAGATAATCCTTTTTGAGTTCCAAAACTTTGATTTAATCTTTTTTTATTAGGTGCCTTTAAGAATCTTTTCCAATATTGTCCAGATCAAAGAATCCCTAGATCGATCTTTGTACATACACAAAAAGTCACGGACTTGTGTTAAGGAGTACGTCTCTGCATGTGCTGTACAAATGGTTCTGAGGATTGGGATTTTTTCACATGTTCAACATGCAAGGACGGGTAAGGTATTTGTTTGGTGTTAACCAAAGTTTCCCCACTTCATCATCTGTTTCTCACTTTTATTATATCAAGTTTGCAGTTGTTATATGTCTATCGTTCCATTTTTCTCCTTATTTTTCATGCTCACTTTGTACCCTCTCCAAATTTTTAATCACTTTGTAATTGATATACCCTGTTCAGCTCATCCTATTGGGATCTTTTCCATGAACAGCTACCATTGCAGTGTGTAGGATATAGAAATCATGCTGAAGAAGTGTATATGTGCTCATATTGTCAGCCAATGGTGGGTGGATCAATACCTCACGATGGAGGTGGCGTCTTGGTATGCATTTTAACTTGTTTGAATTGTCTTTTAGTAGAAGCTTGTATATTTAATTATTTATTAACAGCTTCCCTTGCTTGGCACAGAGACATAATGGCAAGTATTCGGACTTGAAGCTTCTATCTGAACTTGTATCTATTGATGAAAACTTGTGTAAGGTATGATTTACAAGTGATAATTTAAATGCTATTTTGTAATTTTCAGTACAAAATATGTGGTTAATCTTTTATTTTACGTTTTAATCTACTATAGCATTAACATTTAGGAATTATCAATTATGTTATTGTCTATTGATAAAATATTTTGGAATAACTTAATACAGACGAAGGAAGAATATGAAATTCTTTTATCAAGCTAAACAAGAAAAATTGCAAGGAATTCCTCTTCCAGTGCAATTGAGGAGGATATGAGTTTCCATTTAAGGTTCTGGGGAAAAAAAAAGTCCATATCTAATGGATATATATTTGTTTCGTTTTCACCTGAAACTGATTGCCAATTGCTATTTGCATTGATTTTTATTTTTGCATCAACTGAAAGAGCCTTGTCCTTCTATAAGTTTTGCAAGATATGAATGTAGGTTTTTCTGCAATAAAAGAATATGAAAATTCTTTTATTCATTGTTGTTTTTATTGATCATTTTAGTAGGTTTTTAAATTTCCAGTTTCTGAATACAAATATTTAGTTTCGTTGGATAAATGTTTCAGAATTGAAGAAAGAGAAATATTACAACAAATTGTGGACCAAACTTATGCTTGCAAAAAGTGTTTGACAGAGAGGGTGGACTTTCAAATGTCTTACTGCATTTTGTTTCTTATCTAAATCCTTGTTGATTATCCACTAGAATTTCACGCGTTTCAATAGATTCTACAGTGAAGTCAGTTTGCTTTTTAAAACTATTGAACAAATTATCTGTAGCTTGACATTGTGTGAACTGTAGAAGGGAGAGAAATGATACTACTATAATTAGTAGGATAAATATCACATGACTTTGTATTGTTTTCATCCAAATTTCTTCTCAACCAAGGACATGCCATCTCTAATTGGTTAGCAGCGTCCTGGATGTATATGTCATTGACATCATGAAGGCATATACATTTGTGAGTGATTCTTCCAAAGATAATTTTTGGATAGGGGGAAGTAGGGCTGTAAACGAGCCGAGCCGAGCCGAGTAGTGAGAAGCTCGAGCTCGAGCTCGACTCACAACTCCGGGCTCGATACTCGGCTCGAGCTCGATCGAGTTTTATTTTTCAAGCTCGAGCTCGATTCGTGATCGAATTCGAGCTACTCGAGCTCGCTCGATTAAGCTCGATTAATATGTAAAAATAAGCTCGATTCGTATACTCGACAAGAGTTCGATTATTCATGCTCGAACTCGAACTCGAACTCGGATTCGAAATATTTTATTAATTAAAAAAATAAAAATATATTTAAATATAAAAGCTCGATTAGGCTCGCGAGGGAAGCGATGAACATTTTACCTGAAGATCACTTCAGACTGAAGCTTTCAGAATTGAAGGACATTGGATTGCAGTGGACATATCGGTTGCTGATATTTGGTTTCAAACCTGACTTCCTTGACATTATAAAAAAAAATTCAGGTTTATTTAAGGTAATGACTCCCCTTAACTTCAACCACCTCAATCTGAGCCTGCCCTTGCCGATGTCAGAGAAGACAAGTGCAAATACCGACGTTTGCTTCTGGTTCACACCATTTGGTTTTGGTTGGAATCAGGGCTATATTGGGTTGGGTTTTTTGGGGGAAAGATCGGAGAAAGCAAGAGTAATCGCTAAAAAGCAAAAAGCAAGAAAACTGCGAAAGCAGCAGCAGAGAAAGCACGAGAGACGACGGAAAGGCTTAGACTTCATCAATTTTTAATATTTTAAATATTGAGCGCGAATCCAATCAACTCAATGAAACGCTGCGTTTTGTGGTGGTAAAGCTGCAACGTTTTTAAACGCAGCGTTTTTATTGAACGTAACAATCGGTTCTTTCGCAGCGAGACCTTACTAAAACGAAGCTTTTTTTTTTTGGCTTTTCTCCACTCTCCAGCTGCCGCTCCAAAGTAGTACAAAACACTAACACGCCATTGTTTCCTGTCTGTTGGACACTCTGCTCGCTTCTTTTTTCCCTACTCTTCAATCAGTTTAGTTTTCACTTTTTCTTCTTTATATATTAGCTGACGAGGCAATAGCTTTGTTAATGCTCTTAAAGTGTTTGAAGAAATGTTTATTCGAAGTGTTTTTGGTTTTGTCTTGTATTTTAATGTGCTATAACGATCTAACCCTAATTTTGATTTCATTATTTGGTAGATAGACAGATGCAGTACGTCAAGCCTTTAAACTTGTTCCAAAATTTGCTCAAAGCAAAAGCACCGGAACCAGGTCGGTTGCTTGGTTTAGATGTTGGTGATAAGTATGTTGGACTAGCAGTCTCAGACCTCGATAATAAAATTGCCTCACCTCTAAGGTATGGGATTTTCATATGCTGCTAATATTACTCTTTGCCGAGTATTTTTCAACTCTTTCTCAATGTTGGACCAAGCTTTGAGAGTCTCAGTGTAGAATTCAACATTTGTCTCTTTATCGTCAAATATCTCAATATGTTTAAGCGCTTTATAATGGTAATGCTTGTTAACAATTACTTGGTACTGAAGATCCCTGAGTTACTGAGTTTGAAGTATAAAATTTTCGTTTTCTTCTCGATGATCTGATATAAAGGAAAAATTTTATAATAATACATCACTTAGAAAATATATTGGAAAAGCAATTTATGTTTGTCTTTAATACATCTGTGCAGTGTTCTGGTTCGGAAGAAATCAAATATTGATCTGATGGCTACCGATTTTCAAAGCCTGGTGAGTTTGGTTCATTTTCCTTTCCTTCTTACTTAGCATTAGAATTTAATTGACATAAAAAATTTTGAGAGTATAGCCTCAATATTTTTGAAAATAATTTTTACAAAATGAACAATCTCATGCTGCTAGTTAAGGATAATGAGATAATACATGTAAGTGTTAATGCTCTAAGATTTAGTGTTGATTGTGAGTTAGCAAGCAGGATGTTTGGGGTGGAGGGTGGAAAGGGGTGGAGAGGAGAGGGGTCCTAGTTTTTAAATTTTTTCTGGATTATGCTACTACATGGGACTATTTCACTTTGTTTATTTTTCTCCTGCAATCTTTTCATGGAGTTGAGGTTGCAGATGTGGGCTACAGTGTAAGTTTGCTGGGATGATGCAAGTTCAGCGAAGTCCTTTGCTTCTTTTGCTTGATTTGTGTTTGATGAAGTTTTCTGTACCTGTTAGTTGTCTCCTCTGTGACTACTTCTATGCTGATATATTGCTGTGTGGAATCTTTTAAGGATTCATGCTGTCCTTATGCTAATCCTTTGCTTTAGATGCTCCTTTCTTTCCCAGTCATGGAGTCTTGTGATGTGTCTTCCTTAGAAGGATCTAAACAACATAATAATAATGGACTTTTTGGGTCGAAACTCTTGTCTATTAATCTATGGTCACATGCAATCACAATCGTGTTTTAGTTATATTTTATATTTGTGCTATTAGACAACTGGAACATGGATGTATCAGTAGTGCTTTCTGTTTGTAAATTAGATCATGAATGTATCCATGGAATGACTGGTATGAGCCCAGTTATGCATGTTGAAGCCATGGATAATGCTGCTTGTTTTTGAACTTTGAGCTATCTTCTGTCACAACTCTTGATCATCTTTGCTCCCGCCTGTATGCAGATCTCTGAACTTTCCCTGGTGGGCTTCATTGTTGGCTATCCATTTGACAGACAACGACTCGCCCCTGATGTGTGTATTTCTCTTGTGTTTGATCGGCATAATCTCTTAGTTGTTCCCTAAATCTTGTTTCATTTTTGTTGTTGATTAGGCTACACAAGTGAAGCTATTCATTGATGACATGTCTAAAACAGGAAAACTTGATGGGGTAAAGTACACGTTTTGGGATGAGTGCTTTACATCGAAGGTAGGTGCTTGTAGCTATGTTAGAGGAATTTTGAAAAGTTAAGATGGGTTATTCACGATCTTTCAAATGTGAGTAGATTAGTAGACCTGAAATACAAGCGCAGGGGTTTAATTGTCAAATAATATTCATCCTCTTTCCTTTTAATTTATATATTAAATCCTAGATCCCTTCATAAACTCCTTTCTATATGATTAAATCAGATGAAACTACTGTTACTAGGTTTAGCTATAGGTGATCTATCTGAACAAACTCAGATCTATGCCCATGCTTAAGATGAGAGTGTCATTGCTGCAACATTATATGACAAGCAGTAAAGAATCTCATAGTTTGTATTCTTAACAGAATGTGGAATTGCTGCTAAAGCCTTTGAGTTTGCATCCAACACTAGCAAAAACTATTGTTGATAAGTTTGCCGCTGTTCAAATTCTTCAGGTATCTTTCTTGCTTTTGATCCTATGCAAATTTGGTAAGTTCCTTGAGTATTACATGTTTTAGCATTAGATTTGTTAGTTTAAACTTTAAAGGCATTATATTAGATATTCAATTCAAATTGTAAATAAGGACAGCTACATTTTCAAGGCACTTTATTGCGAGTTAACATTTTACAAAATGGTAGTCTATCAATTGGCAATTGAGGGAATATATTACGATACATGTGACTAAATGTTTACATGATGATGAACCTTTTTGAATACGTTAAAAGTTTTTATGATCCTCTATTGGTAAATTTTCTTTAACTTTCAAAGAGAAAATGGCTAATGATAGTCTGTGAGATACTGAACGTAATCATTCCACTTTGATTTTAGTCAGTTTTCAAACTTGCTCTTAAAATTAGCATTTAAAATGTAGATTTTCATCTTTTGGTGTTGGTCTTTGGCAGGCGTACCTAGATTATGCAAACAAGAAGGAAAAGTTAGAAAAAGCAAGGTGAGATATCAATCAGCAAATGGGCGTACGTTATGTCAACCATTTATCCAATGAACCCTAGCTTTGTGAGTAAAATGCTGGAGTGCTGTTTGCCTATGCTGATTCACCTTCAAGTTATGAAAAACCATTTTATTGCCAATTCTCCAACAAAACAGCTCTGGCCTAGCGAAAGTAAACGTTTCTGCCATTAATTGTACTCGTAATATCTTAATCTTATATATGACTGCAGTCTACAGTTTATTATTAATTAGGCGGGCATGAACTTCAGCTAAACTCTAGAAACAAAATGGTGTATTGTAGGGGAAAACATTGTAAAGAAAATGCTGAGGGAATTTATAGTTTATTGCATTTTCTTGTTAAAAAGTGGTACACCCAAATTTATTTCTATTGGAAAGCAGCCCAGCCCAGCCCAGCATTCAAAATTAGAGCTGGCCTGAAAACCCTAGCTTCATCTGAAATTGGACTTGCATGTTTGTTCCCAAACTTTTCACTGGGCACCTGGCCTAGATAGATATATCGTCAAACCTAAAAAATGACATCGTCCTCGGCACTTCTGTTCTGCACCAAGTACCAACCATTGAAGGAAACCAAGACCCACGTCATTTTCTTCGTTTAAAAGCACAATGGTTCTTTGGTAACATCACATCCTCCTTTTCCTCAATATTTTAAAATAAAATAACAAAATAATAATAGTATTTGTGCTTTTCCCTCTCTGCTATTAGAGTCTTTGTTTGGACTCCTTGACCATCTCTTTCTCACTCCGTGGCTCAGTTTTCATCAGAGTAGTACTAGTAGGACTTAGTACCGACTGGCAAACCAAAACCACCAAGAGCACCCATCACAAGAGACAGGCACTAATTGAAACAGAGAGCAACATAACAAAACAAAATAAATACTCCCCTCTTGTTTTCTTTAATTCAAAGAGAAAGAAGAAGACAAAGAGAAAAAAAGGAGTGCCCTAAGAAATGGCAATCTGATTAGGACACATACACTGTAGGAGAGTTTTTGGGTACTTTTTGTGGGCCTTTCACTGTCCCTCCCAATGCCATTACTCAATTCTTTCTTAAGTCTTTTTATTCAGAATACAAACACCCAACCCCACTTGACTCTTTACTAAACAAAATAGTTTTATTCAAAAAAATTAAAGAAAAAAAAAAGAAAAGAAAAGGTCTTCTGTTTCATACACCTTTAATTCAAAAGCTCTTCATTTTTCAAATCATTTTTCTTCTTTGTCTTTTCTTTCATTCTTTCTTTCTGTCACTTTTTTCTCCCTTTCCTTGTTCTTGCATTTCTCTTCTCAAAATCCTAGGTTTTCAAATCTAGGGTTTTGTTTTTCTGGATGAATCCAGGGTTATGCGTGCAAGAACTTCTTAAAAGCTTCCACCCTGTCCGGGTCTTTGAGCTTTTCATGCTTGGCATTTTTTTTGTTGATCAAGAGTTAACTTTTTGATCATGGCTTCTTTTAGAGTGAAAAAATTCAACCTCTAACTCTTGTCGTTGCTCTTGTTTATCTGGGTTTCGGCTGAGCTTCTTGGGTTCCTTAAACTTTACTCATTTAAAAAGAAATCCCTAAAGACCCGGTCTTTGAACATCATTCTGTTCGTTCTAGGAGATTTAGGGTTAAGAAGGCGGTTCCTTTGAAATAGAGATTTCAAATTCTATACTTATAGGGTATTTTCTCAAATTGTCCAAAAACCCTGGTAAAACCCTTTTATCAAAGCATCCTTTTTGGTGCTTTTTCTTTGTTACAACTTCCAGTCAATTTAATAGTCGGGGTTAAAGGGCTTTTAAATACACAAATTTTTGGTACCAAAAAGCCAGTCTTTATTTTTTGCTCTCTACTTAAATTGTGATTAATTCCTCAATAGTAAATGCATGGATGGGAGAGAAGCTATGTCATTATCAGGCGGGTCAGGTCATTATTATATTCATAGAGGGGTTGCTGGGTCTAGTTCTGGATCAGTACCACACGCTGGTGTAGCAGCATTTCATTCTCAGCCAGGTTTCAGGCCCTTAACTAACCCTCAGGTTCAGCTTCAGTCAAATGTTGGATCGACATTTACAGGGGAGCCTAAAAATGTTAGTTTTCCTCATGGCATTAACACGGGTATGTCCTCTGGGATGCCACCAGGGGAGCCAATAAAGAAGAAGAGAGGGAGGCCCCGAAAATATGCTCCTGATGGACAGGTTTCACTGGGACTTTTGCCTATGCCTGCCAAGCCTAAGCCTTCATCAGGATCAGATGCTTATGGCCAAAAAAGAAACAGAGGTCGGCCTCCTGGGAGTGGGAGGAAGCAGCAATTAGCTACTCTAGGTTAGTTTTTTTGTTGGATTTTGATATTTCAATTGGAATGTAGCTAAGACGTTTTGGTAGGAAACAGTTGTGTCTCTTTAAGCTTTGATTTTATAGTCGTGCTCAGTGATCTGATAGTTCTAGGCTACAATTCATCTTTGATATCGCCAATTATGTTATTTTTGCAGTAACGGCTAATTACACCCTTCTTTTTTAAATGAAAAAGTTGTTTTTTTTTTTTTGGGGGGGGGGGGGGGGAGGAGGGCACTTACGTTTTAAAGATAAGGATGGCAGGGTAGAATTTTTGGAATTTAATGCTCAGTAGAATTAAATATAATTTTATAACTATCTGTGTTGTGAATATATGCTACATGGTTCCTGGATTTGTCTTTAAAGGTTCAGTTGTTTCTGATAGGTGAATGGATGAATAGTTCGGCGGGGCTGGCCTTTGCTCCTCATGTTGTCACCGTTGGAATTGGAGAAGTATGCTACATCCTTCTAGTTAATCTCACATTTACTACAGGATACAAATGATCTTGAATTTACTTCATTTGCAGCTAAATATGTGAATAAGAAATCTCTAATATGCATAGCTGCTGGGATAGATGGTTTGAAATTTTGAGCACAGGTCTTTTCCACAAAACATGCATTATTGAGCCTGTAATGTTTGCTTTCTAGGATTTGGTTGGAGCTTTTAATTCTTGTGACTTTAATGTGGATGGAATTATGATCTCCTCCATATGAATTTTGAGAGTAAGAAGGCTGCGATGGATGGGCAATGCTTGACTAACCCTGTTATAACGCACTTAAATACAGATTGGAGTTAACCACTCATGCAATTGTGCGCATATATGTGGAGATTGCAGCATGCCTGTATCCAACAGAAATGCTTAGATTATATGAATTAGGAAATTATAGATGAAGGCCACTACATTCGAACACTTGCACACTAGTCCTCTGCTTTACTGTCCTTTCTTTTGATGCTGTTCCTAATAAGAGGACCTTGATGTTGAAGATCTCTTCCGAACCAGCGTTTAATGACATTCATTTAGTGGTGAGCAAACCTTAGAGATAACATTATTCATCTTGTTCAAAAGGGCACTGCTCTTTGCATAATGATAACTTCCACACAGCACTTAACAGTAGCATGACTGTTTTTCCACTTCTGAACTGTGAGTCTGAGTTGCTGTCCCCGCTTTAAGTTAACATGAGCCCTTATGAATTGGTGTACAAAAGACATGACCTTGTATATGGTTGAAATTAATATTAATGCGTCTACTTATATGATTATATTGCAAATAGCATGGTGCAATTTCCTAGGCATGTGGTACCAAATCTTGACTTAGTAATGTGCAATTTTTATGTTCTTTTTCAGGACATTGTAGCAAAAATGTTGTCCTTTTCACAACAAAGGCCAAGGGCTGTCTGCATCTTATCAGGCAGTGGTACAGTTTCCTCGGTAACTCTACGTCAGCCTGCATCTTCTACTCCCTCTGTGACATATGAGGTTGTAGCACTTGACACATTTGATTTTTCCTTTTTTTAAAATAATAAAAATGGTAAAATTTTGGATGCCATGACCTTTTTTGATGCTCAAATGTCTTGCTAGATTCTTTATTTGAGTTCTTAGAATTGCAGTTTGAAATATGGCATATAAATGCCATGTGTTTCTTGCCCTCCTGTTTGAATATATTTTGCAAAATCATAGTATAGTAGCCTGAATTACGTATTAGTTAGTTTTCTTTCCCTTCTGTGTGCTTCATGTGACTGTACTTGGTCCTTGTGCTGATAGAACTGTGATGTAATGTATAGTTATGGTTATAGGCTTATAGTACCTGGAAAACTGAGTTCCTGTTGCTTAGTAGTTCTCTGCTTAGTTAGTACTACTTGTGAGTGAATAAATCTGGGGCTTGATTTAAAATTTCAACATTTACCTGGGCCTGGAGCTTAAATATATGGAAAGAGCTTTTGGTTAAAGGTTAGCTTAGCTTTTCAAATAGAGTCAAATGCTTTAGGAACATCATCCGTGGGAGTTGGGGATTGTGCATCTGTCTTTACATAAGAGAGGTGGAAAGAGAGATGAATCAAACTCGTCTTTGTTACACTTCATCGATAAGATGCTATTTTCTGCTTACAAAGTTTAAGTGTGTTTTGGATAGCTGCGTTTTAGCTTACGATGTCTCCTTAGTTGAGTAGGCATAGCATCTTTCTTGGGTCTATTTGGTCTTTGATAAAAAGGAACCAGTTTTTAATTTGTGTGAGTTTAACCTGACATTATTGGCAATAAGCTTGTTCTTGGAACCTAATTGGCCTTTCCTTTTTATATATTTATCCTTTTGAACTTTCAGTGATGTTTGTGCTGCTTGGTGGAAACTTATTTGATCTATTTTAGCTTTTCTTAGGGCTGTTTTGAGATATTATGCTTGTCGGGTTCTTACTTGCTTGCTGAGGATGGTGGACCACGCAGTCGAACAGGTGGAATAAGTGCTTCTCTTTCTACTCCTGATGGTCATGTCATAGGTGGTGGGATTGCAACATTGATTGCATCAAGCCCAGTTCAGGTGTCCTTTTTGTTTCTCCAAATTTTACTTATAATTGTACTTTGATGCTTACTTATGACATTGAGCTTAGTAGCATTCCCGTCTTTATTTCTATTGTTTACTTTTCATTTTGAAAAATATTCCAGTAAAAGAAGATTTAGGCATAGTGGTATATTATTGTGCAGTGTGCATGTATCATTCATGTTATTTATATGTTGTAGCTTGTTTTATCTAGTGGTGTGGGTATTGGAGGAGAATGCATGGTTGAGTGCTTGGTAAAATCAGGTGAGTCTTACTATTTAGACTCACTCACCCCAACCAGCACTCACTGAAAACATCACACTAGAATGTAAATGATCCCTTCTTGGTGTTGTAATATGTTATATAAATCTATTTGTCTGACATGGATGCTGTTTGCATTTTGCACATCCCAGCCTATTTGGTTTCAGTGGGTTAAAGGAGGAGGCTGTAACATGCATCTCTATGCATCTGAATTTTCTAATGTATTATACACTTGCTGCAGCTGGTGGTATGCAGTTTTGTTTATGGGGGATCTAAAACCAAGAATAAACAACTGGCTAGCCCAAGAGGCAATAAGGATTCTGTGCCTCAGAAATCAGCTACACCGACTACGGCACCTTCAACCCAAAATTTCACTCCCCCCTCTATGAATGTTTGGCCTGGTTCACGGCCCGTTGATCTGAGAAACCCTCACACTGATATTGACTTGACGAGAGGATGATCATGGCATTTTTGTACATATATGTTGTTGTGCATGTACTGAATCTTTGAGGAAGTATGAAAATTTAAAATCCTCCCCATTCGCCCAGTAGGGGCGACTGGTTTGTGCTAACGTAGATTGTAACAAAGTCACTGTGAGTTTCTCTAGTGTCACTGGTAAACCTGTTGAAAAATTCTGTAGTTTGGAGTTAAAAGGAACATTAATCTGTAGCTGCAAGAGATGTCATTTAAGGTTAACCAGTATTTCAAGCAAACAATGGTTGCCAATTGTTTCGCCATTAGATTGTATTGTAATTGATTTTCTGAAATTTAAGTTGAAATGTCTGGCGTTACGATTTCCCAGGTGGGAACCATGGGATTTAAGATGATCTATATAGGATTTGAGTGAAGACACTGTTGCATAAGATCGTCAGGAGTTGGACCTGGTAATATGCAGCAAAATACATCTTAAACTCGGGTTTCATCGAGTAAATCCATTCCTGACATCATTTTATGGTCACCTGTTCCAGATTGAGGATAGGGCCAATAATATTTTGTTTGTGCTACCTGTGAAAGGCAAACTATATTTTTTGAAGCAATCAGTCCAGATGAATGCATAATAGAAAATCAATTAGTGAACTGTGAAGGTCTAAATGAAATTCTAAGTTTCTGTTCATGGTAAATTTTACTGAAGAAAAGCAAAGTGTGACAGTCTGTGTATACAGATGATTAGTCATAAAAAACAGAATCGCACAAAATGTGAACAGAGACAGGAGCCGAGAACCATGCACAAGATATCTGGCCAGGCTTCGTTCAGATTCCAGGGGCAATAAACCAACAAGTAGGTATCTCTGTGGTACAGAAACAGATGAACAGAATAATACACGAAATTCAGTTCACCCAACTGTTAATGCCTTGCCCGTTTTCACAATTTAGATGCCCTGCTCTCCCTGGTCTTAGTTAGATTTAATAATTTGTATATTTATAGTGTATTTATTTTATATTAAATACATATAAAACATAAAAATTATCATATTAAAATTTATATTAATACATTAAACACAAAACAAATATATATTTTTTTATTTTAACAAATGCATATATGATTGTTATCAAAATTTTATATTGATATTATTTTCCCATATCTTTTTCATATAAATTTTGTATATATTATGTCCAAATTTATAATCCTAAGACCATTAACCACCTTAAGTAAACAAATCTTGTTTTTTTTTTTTAAATAAAGAACCTTGCAGACAACGAGAATATCTTTAAAGCTGAAAGCATATTTGAGAATGACGGTTTCACCTTTTGAAACAAAGTTGATTTAACATGTCGGAAGCTTTGTTTTCTTTTGATACATTAATAATTTCTCAATAGCCATTTATCTTTTTATAATACGTTCCCTTTCTTTTATGTTAACACACTTTTGTTTAGATAATTTGCAAGAAAAAAAAAGGCCATGTCCCATGTGTCGAGTAACAAGGAAAGCCAATTGTAAACGATTTAATTCTAACAAAATATAATTAATAAACAATCCAAAAAAAAAGAAAAAGTCATCCACAAAGAGGACACTATCAAATAGTTTCATATAAAAAGAACGCATGGTCTTGAGTTCGATCTTAAACGAAGGCAACTCCAACATGCTACATAGAATACAAACATACATGTAGCTTTGGATATTGTTAACCAAAATTTTCTTACATAGTATTCTGCAATACAAATTTTACAAATCTGGAAGAACACTCACGGAAGAATATAGATATTTGAAGCTTAGAATTCGATCAGTCGATCGCTAATCGGACAGCTTCACCTTCCCCTTTTTCACTAATCATTCTGGCTAATCCCCAATAACTTCTTTATATCATACTGCAGTAATGCCATATAAGGCTAACGATTTAAACTCACTTCACCTGATAATGATATATAAAATGCTCAAAAGGAGATTTTAAGCTTGAGAATGGAAAAAGTAGTTTCACCTCAAGACTAAGTGGCGAAGTGGTGGGATAATACCGATGAACAACTTGGCCATCCTTACTGACCAAGAACTTGGCAAAGTTCCATTGGATGTCGTCTCCAAAAATTCCCCATTTCCCCAACTTTAAGTAGTTATATAGTGGGGAAGCATTGACACCATTTACTTCAATCTAATACCAGAACAGCAAGAGGAGATGGTTCAATAAAATTTTGCATGAGCAGAGTTCTTAATGAGCTTAAATGATGACTTAACCAAATTGATAGGAATCGAAAAAAAGTGTGTCTAATGCAAGCATGCCATCCAGGCATCCACTTTGTACCTAAAGCATGCCAATCAGGGTAGTTACCTGATCATCAATTACGTCTATGAATCCTCGGTGGAAAACTGTAAATTTTAGACCTGCTAAATTTAAGAGCCGTAGGATATGGTAACCGATGATTGTGGCAAAAATACTCAAGTTTTACTAAGCTTTAACAGTACAGTAATTGCAGCACGGTTCTGTATTTCTCAATCTACCTTGTCAAAGATGGGAAATTCTGATCTAAAGCGGGTGCAAACAAATTCAGCAATCTGATCATTTGATCCAGGTTCCTCATCACCAAATTGATTGCATGGAAAAGCCAGAATCTCCAAGCCTTTTACAGAAACAAATGAAAATTTAAGTCTGTGCAAATAGATGTGCAAGCGATGAATTCTCAATATAATCCTCTGAAGTGGGATTCATTCATCACAATACTTCACAGTAAAGCCCACATCAGAGTACCCAATGTAACCATAAATAAACGTTCAACCAATACATGCACACATAAGGAAACAGTTCAGGCTATTATATTGAATTATCATTGTTAAGCTGTCGACAGAGAATGTATGGGACAAACTCAAATGTTCAAAATGCAAACCTTGATCTTTAAACTTCTCATATAATTGATTCAGTTCTGTGTAGTTTGAGTTTGTCATTCCACTGCCACAAAATAACCAAACAGAGAATCATAAATATAAATCCTAATTGGTGAAAGAAAGATACAACAACGACAATAGGTAGAAAACGATTCTGACAAATTGATGGCTATAAACCATCATCGGCTGGCTTGGTTGCAAAGAAAACACATTGGAAATTGATCACAGAAACACAAGGAAGATACCATTTGGAAGCAACATTAACAATCAATAGCACTTTTCCTTTGTAAGCCCTCAGGTCAACATCATTTCCTTTCGCATCCTGTCAACGGAAGGAAAAGGATCATACATATATCTTCTTATTTTAAAATATGCGGAATTGAAAAAATCAATATACACAAAATATTTTTCTCTTAATCCTTTTCTGGAAAAGAAACTAAGTAAAATAGATTAGTCTGCAATCAAAGCAGAATATTACCATTTACTAATTTATTACCACTACCTTGTTTTCCATCTTATGATCAACAGAGTCTCACTAAATTAAAAATCTTTAACAACCCTTAGAAGAATTAAGCATTAAAACTGAGAGAGTTTCTATCTGTCAGCATTATTTTCATACAAACAGAGAAAAATTATCGACTGACATCTCAGGTTAGCATCTCTCTATCCAGGTAATCATCTTCCAATCTAGTTCATGTTTCTTTCTTCCTAGTGCCTTTCAATAGTAACTAAACAACCTTAACCAAAGGTAACCAACAAAGATGTTTGGAACCCAAGACATTAAAAAGGTGTGAAGCAACCACCAAAAATTACCAATTTGACATATGTGTAAGATGATCAGTTTAAAGAACAAAAAAAAGTAACTTTTTCTTCCCCTTTATTTGTTTTGCTTCTCTTTCGTGGAATTGCATAACAAGGAAAGAATCACCAAAAGGGTAAATGGAAACATAAAAGGATTAAAGGAAAAGAAAAAAAAAAAACCAACCTTAACAGTAAAATCATAGATGGATTCTGGGTTCTTTGTGGTTTGGCTTGCCATTGAGTTTAGATTTGTCTTGTCCGAGGTGATAGGGGCAGACGAGTAGCGAAGTACTTGATTTCATGAAGCAAGCTGTTTAGACCTCTGAAGCTTTAATCTGCTTACAAGTGTACAAGATTTCATGCTTCGATATAGGCCCCCGTCAACAGCTTAATGATAAGCCCAATCCTTTCCTTTTGCTGATCAATCCTTACTGGTAACCCCAACCCAGTAACTCAAGTTGCACATTGCGGACCTAGCTTTGAGTAAAATATGTTAAATTGATCTGAACTGCACCTTTTTCATTTCGGCCTTTGTTATTTTGTCTTTTTGGTGAAGTCTGAATTTACTTGAATCAATTATTTCCTATTAAATGTCCATTTTTTTCGTAACTACGATACTATTCCTTCATCTTCAGATTTCAAACTTCTTTTATAAAAACTGGTGCATTGTTGATAACATTTTGCAGTTGAAAGAATTGCAATTGTTGAGGATATTGTTCATGAATTATGACCATGAAATTCTAGTATTTTGTTGCTGGTCAAAGCAAATCCATTTAATAATGCAAGTGAAGAACTAAAATTCATCTTAGTAGGACTAAAAAAAGCATGATCTGGATAAAATTAATGAGGAACACCTTCTAAATTCTAGTACAGTCTAACCCATCTTAGTAGATGAGGAAAACAAAAACACAGAAACGTCCTTGGAATAGTTTTTTATTCATGAAAGTATCTACTTTATTCACTCTGAGGTGATGAAGCAACCTCCATCAATCAAGCCAGCAGTTTCTTTATGTCCTTCTGCAAATAAAAACGGCATCAATCAGGAGTTCTCTCATTTTATATTTAGACTGAATAGATTAACAAAATGGCAGAAACAGGCCTTACCTCAATGCTAAGAGGAGAAGTAGTGGGAGCATAACGATCAACAACATTTCCCTCCTTATCGACCAGGAACTTGGTAAAGTTCCACTTGATGTTGTCACCGAGAATTCCACCTTTGCTAGACTTGAGGAATTTGTATATCGGAGCAACGTTGGAACCATTCACATCGACCTGCAATCAAAAGACACAACAATGAAGTAAGGTCTATAATACTCAACTCCGAGTCTCCAACAAAGAGTAGGATGCCTAAAATCCCTTGAAGAAGAGAGGAAGAACTGATATCATAGAACATCCTTTATTGAAAATACTAGCATTTTAATGGCTTGCACATCTAACACCACATTATAAGTGAGGCAAACGTAATAAGGAGTTTTGCAGACTGACACAATCAGTGCTTTCATTCCTATAGCCAAAGGGTATACCTTATCAAATATGGGATATTCAGCTTTAAAGCGAGTGCAAGCAAACTCCAAGATCTGTTCATTGGTCCCTGGCTCCTGACCTCCAAATTGGTTACATGGGAACGCCAGAATCTCAAAACCTGCCCCAGCAAAGAAACAAGCAATATGGGATAAAGAGTTAGGAGAAAAGGAACGAGTGATTAATCAAACAACCATTCCTGGATTTCAAGCATTGTCTACACCTGAACTTCATTGACAAACTAAAAGGTCCTACCCAGCAAAATATTCCTGGGTAAAAGATGGTAGATATATAATCTATTAAAGCAAAACATGAAGCGAATAAGATGCTAAAACAAACCTTGATTTTTATACTTCTCATACAATTTACTCAGCTCAGTATAGTTGGAATTTGTCAAGCCACTGCATCAACGTTTAAGCAGAAAATTACAAATCTATGACTTAAAACAAGAAAAAAAAAAAGCCAAAGTGTGGCATCATCATCTAATAAGTAATCCAACAACATCCTTATTAAACAAAAAAATGATTTAATGACAATTAAAGCTTGAAAAAAGTCTTTTGGATTAGAAAATATATACTCTAGTAATTCTAAATTTGAGAGTTTGGAGGTACCATTGTGATGCAACATTGACAATCAAGAGGACCTTTCCTTTATAAGTGCTTAGATCTACATCATTTCCTTTTGCATCCTGAAGAACCAAAATACAAAAGTAATACCCATTTCTTAGAAAAAAAAAAAAAGAAAAAGAACCCATGTAGAAATAAATCAAAGAGAAATTAAATTTGAAGCAAAATTAACTTTTATCTATGGGGCATAAATTTAAAGACAAATATACATAAACCAACCTTAACAGTGAAGTCATGAATTGATCCCTTGGAGGATTGACCAGCCATGGTATGATCAAATCTCAAACTACCCACGAAAGACCTTGGAAACCCTGTTTCAATTGACCGAGACACCAGAGAAACTGGCGAAATCCGAGGAAAACTCAAAAGGGTTTGATTGGAACGCGATGAGAAACGCTTTAGGAAAAGAAGAGATGCAGAAACCGTAACTGAACTAAGATTTCGTCGAACGAGCATGCTATGAGAAAAAAGGAACCTTAGGAGCTTGTCATTTATAGAATAGAGACTAGTGAGAGTATGCTAACCGGAACCGCTGGGTCATGGTCAAAGCTTCGTGTGGGCCTCGCGTTTCAAAGATTGTGAATATGCTATTTCCACGTCTTATGGGTGGGGGCCATCTCCCAATGTTGAATTCGGAGACGTGAGGAACGGTCAGGATTTTTTGCATCAGAGAATACGTCAGGGGCCTTTTTTTGGGGGTCGTGTGGACGTTTTCCGACCGCCTTTTGCCAATTTTGGATTTTTTCTTTGTGTTTGTGAAGCTAATGCAATTTGGATTGGGCGGCTTTCGTAGTTTTCTAGAAGAGATTTTCCATGGAAGGAATATATGTTGTGGACGAAACCATTGTTCACATGGATTTTTCTAACCAATTTGGATTTTCAGATGGACATTTATTCTATACTATAATAATGGAAAGTGACATTCATTGATAGATATATGCTCAAATATGTGTAGAATAATCGTCATGAACTGCATTCAAATTGTATTTTCATACAAAATTATTTGAACATTAGTTGGAAGTTAGAACTTGAAATTAGTTCATATTGAAAAGAAAAACAAAGACACATACATATTGTCTTAACTCTCATGTACGATCAATAAACAAAAGAAGAAACAAATAAACGAACAAGAAACGTTTTAGAATTCATTGTATTCTGTTCACCCGCTCAAGCAAGTTATCCAATGTTATGGAAAATGCGTCCTGAAACTTTTCAAGCTGGGAATTTGAGTCTCCATAGACCAAACCAGGCAATAGTTCATAAACAATGTACCTCCTCGTATCCTCTCTCTTCCTTACAGGAATGTTCATGAGTCTTCCAATCACATTTACCTTCATCTGCCTCACCTCTTCTTGGTCTATGAACACTGAATATTTGCTATGATCTTCCGGTAAATGCCATGGATATTGGTAGTAAGCTGTGAATGGATCAAAGAGTACCGGAATGCAACCCGAGACAAGTGAATCAAATACGGATTTTCTTGTCGGGCTATCTCCGGGAGGTTGTATGCAGAATTCAGACTCCATAAAGAGGTCAATAACTGATTCAGGCTGGTTACATCCACCTGAACTACAATTCAGAAACTTGCATTTTTTCTCATCTGAATTGCACTGGTTGATCAGTATTGACCTTATGTTTTCTGGTGCATCAGGCCTTGCCGCCCCAGCAAAACTGACTAGGTTCTTTCGATTTGATCGGATGATCTTCAGCTGCCAAGTGATGATATCATCATCTGAATGGGGATGAAAGTAAGTAGGATGTGGAATTCCAATGTCATTGATGTGCCAGGGTTGGCGTTCAATCAACAGCTTCATTGGGTTCTGCATTTGATCAAGCTCTAGCAATCTTGTCCCCCATGAAGCATCACTTCTTCTCCTAAAATCCCATGAAATCTTACCCAACACAAATACGTGATCCTTACCAGAGTTTTGAAGCCATGACTTTTTGTTCTCAAGCCACTTCACAAGTTCCAGTGCCAAGGTATCTTTAACATCACTAGAGACATTTTTGAAATGCCACCTCAGGATATCTAAGCCACCATAGAATGGAACATAGAACAGCTTTGCCTTATATCAGTTCCAAGGCATACTGATGAGTGTGATACCATCCTTTTCCAAGCTTTGCAATAGGCTCACCCATTGCCTCGTTATTGAAGTACTTACAAAAATTTGTCCAAAGAATCATATCTCCACATTGACCTACCAAGTCCTTGTTGAACTTCGATGGCAGATCATACACAAAAATCCCCCTCCCATCACATGATGCCACATCATTCTTATGTGACATCCATGATCTTTGAACTTGCAGCTGCGCTTCAACAACCTTCACAGCAAAGGCAACTTCTCCAACACTGTCATTTTTCTGGACCCTGTTGCTGACGATTGGATCTGGGTCTTCCCGGACAATGTTGACCACATCTTTGATACTGGCACTAATATTAGGATTAATTGAACTGTTGTTAAGAGCTGGAATTGGGATTCCAGAATTGGGTTGGGTACCTGCAGAGAGACAGTAAAGATTATTGAGCTTCCGCGACGAAACGCATACGTGAACAATTTTCCCAGAGATAATAGTGGTGGAAGAAGACCATAAAAGGATAAGAATTAACAGGAAGATCGCAGCATGGATACGGTAGAGAATTTTGAACAAAATTGTATCAGAAAAATGATGTTTCTTTGTTTCTACTTCTTTGGATGCTTTAGACTTCTTTTTGGGCAATGAGATGGCCATATCTGTTGGAATTACTATCTGTTCATTGCATTTTTTATTCTGGTTTTTGTAGTGAGAGGAAGCTGCATCTTTTCCTTAAGAAAGCTGCCTCTGGACATGGTTGCACGTCTTATGGTTGGCTCCATATTGTTGTGCATGTTTGTTCTGCACAATGATTATCAGGTACTACATTCATTACTGACCAATTTGTATAAACTAGTTATAAGACATTCGCTCCATGAAACGTCAATGACATAAACATGACAGTCCTGAATGCTGATGCAACTGAGCATTTGGGGTCAACCAATTATATACTTCCAATAGTCAAATAGCTGGAACTCGGATATTTCTAGTTTTGGTTTAAATATTTCTTGTTGATAAGCGACCGTTGGGATCTTATGCTTCTTTAATGGTTGAAAATGAAGTTGTTCTGCTGGCAATTTGGCTGCTTCATATGGGCTTCAGAGAGAACTGCTAGTGATAGGGAAATAGGGAACTAAATATAATGCAAAACCACATTGACAATTTTCATAATGATATTGATAAAGCAGGAAGGAGCTTCTTACTAGCAAGTATGCAAATATAAAATGTTATGTAAGGAGCGTCGACACGCAGGGTTTACGCCTTCGAAAAAATGTCTCCTTTCATTTATGTGCATGCATTCCTGATTTCTATGTTTCTATAAAGAAAGATGTCTAGATTACACTGTGATAAAGGACGAGAGGAAGAAGAGGAATGAAAGAAATTTCAGCAGCAAAAATTCAAGCAGAAGTATTGTAGTATTAAAAGAATCTAAGAATACACAAAATCTTGTGTCGATAAATTTGCCCAGTTTGCCAACAGCTTACATGTAGGTAGATTTCTGAATTCTGACAGCTTCTGAATACCAAAGAAAATCCCTGTTTTTACCTTCATTTTCGAATTTATTCAGCTGTGTCATCTCCTATGCAAAAATATAGGCAAGAGATTTGCTCTCAAACAAGACAGCTTTGGTGAATGAACGTTTAAATGTTTACACAATGATACAATAACAGAGGAGAATCTGCTACTGCAGTACAGTTGACAAAAACCTTTTTACATGACTGCCAGTATAAACCATAGTAAACAAGTGTATTATTTATAGAAGCTAATAATTGCTTATCATCCATTATGTTATTGACAAGAAAAGATTAAACAACAAAACATCTGGTGATAAATACTAGTAATGCAGTTTTCACTAGTCACATTCTTGGATGCAATAGCTTTTTCTTGTCAGATCCACCACCATAATTTGCTTCCTTTAACCGCTGAATTTGAAGTTTCTCTTTGACTTTCATGAGGATGTCATGCACTTCATCAAAGTGAGGTTGTGTAGCTTTTCTTGTATTCTCAATCCACTGCTGAACTTTCTTGTGTGGGCCCAATAACCTAGTGCGATCGTTCTCATCCAAAACCTACATCCAAGAAATTTTTATCAAATTTCAATATCTTTCCAAATAATTTCATTTTCTCGGCACACAAATAGATCTGCAAGCCAAGAGGGAATAAAGATTCTGAAATTAGCAACCATAAGCAAAATTTGAATTGATAAAATATAGAAATAAAAACTTTTGCCACTTAGAATAGTCAGCAAATAACATTTACTGGAATTGTGTATATCACAGGAAACACTGCAAGTAAATTACAGGTATGTTTTGAGTAAAAAGATAAATCTCTGACCTAGGTTCGAGACAATCTATTCTGCTTAAATGTAGGGCATGAAAATGTATAAGTGAAAGTCCATAAATTACACTTGAGCTTTTTGCCATTTTTATAGTAGCAATTAAGTAGAACAACCATGAATATCACTGTAAAAACGTGTAGATTTGTGTATATTTTTCTCCATGTAAAAAAAACTAACATTGATGCTCCCAAAAGAGAAGTATGACTCAGGAGAACTGGAGAAACTATGCCACCTTGACATTTTTCTTTCCATGTATAAGTGGTTTTGTATGTCAATAAGGGGAGATGAAGATAAAATAATAATAATAATAATAATAATAATAAAGAAATGGATGATAACTATCAAAAAGGACCTCATTTTTATAGAGCTTGTAAAGGATATGGTCCTAAAAAGGCACATCAAAATGGACCTCATTTTTTTATGGAGCTCAGGAAGGATATGGTCCTAAAAAGTGCACAATGCGGAGATCCATTAACAATCCCATGTACTGGGAAAAGGCTTGGTCACTGCTCTTCTTGTTGTGTATGCCTGTCTTCGAGGAAAGGGGTTATCTATGGGGGCCACAGCTGAATATGTATCAGAGAATATTTCGTTCCACCAGAGAAGTAATGACAACAATAATTGAAATGTGGACAAAAACATCAAGTCATAACAAATATACCTCAAGTTGCATTATTTCACAGACAAGGCTAAGATCTGCTATGGATGGTTGGTTCCCACCCAGCAAAAAACGCCCATTACCCTTGAGCCAAATGGACTCTATCTTCGACAGAGATGAGCACAAAAGTTTCTCAGCTTCAGCAGCTGCTTGTGGATTCAATTGACGACCAAGCGCAGGTGCGAGTGTAGTATTCAAAACATACGTGGCTGAAAAGAGAAGCATCAAGTTCAAAAGCCATATCTCACCCAAGGAAGAGAGACATTGTTATGCATAACCACATACACAAGCATATGTAGGCAGGCGGTACCAAAGCCATATAGATAACCAAAAGTGAATTAGTGTTTACACACACTGACACATAAAGTGATGATGCCAAAAACCAAAAGTACAGAATGGAAGAAATTTTAGCATCTCTGATAGTCTAATGTTGTGATTAAGGGAAAGAACAACACAAATCTAATGCTTGAAATTCCTACCCAGAAACATGCTGTTATTTGTAATAGCATTGATCCACAAAGGGTAACATGTCATAAAACAAGAATGCAGATAAGAACAACATTATCCTACATCATCAATTACCAATCACTATGAACAAAAAATAAAACTTAAACAGTTCAATTCTCTTTGGGGTTATTTATACACCTGCCCCATGGCGTAAGTTGGAGTGATGCCAATCCAACACTGAGTGTATCTTACTTCTCTTGAAAAGATCAGCTGGATACCTTAAAGCATTAACATCAAAATCTGTTAATAATTGGACTGCATATTCAAACTAAAAGTGAAATGTGTCAAAATATATTGATAATCCTGTCACTAGAAGAACTGCACAAGTTTCAGTAAAACAGTAACCTATAGTACGTAGAAATCAGCACATAAGTTGGTTGTGTCATAAAATCCTTCTAACATTAACATCATAGAACACTGAGCCATGGACAAACCAATTAAGTTATTCAACTATCATGTGAAAATAGTACTATAGCACTGCAAATAAATATAGAACGTAGAAGCTGGGCAAGGAACTCCGACAAATAAACATGGAAGAAATTCAATACCAACACACACTATCCGTGTCCATACTCCCCTATATTGTCCAAGACATCATGTAACTTAGAACGTAAGCTGAAAGAGAAAGAAACTGCACCTACCAATGATCTGCAACTCCAGGAAATGCACAAGCAAGATAGATAAGAATGGCGTGGCTGCAATAAATAAATTGTTAATATATATTAAACCTTTGAAATAAGGGAAAAAAGGGGTAAGCGAAACCCTCTTTAATTACCTCTCAAACAACTTAAATCTTCCATCAACAATGGCCGGCAACAGTTTCATGGGATTTATTTCTGCAACAACACCATTGGAATAAATATGAACATGTTGTGATTACTTTCCAATAAAACGCGCAATCTATAATTCTCATAGCACCAATTCAATGATTAATGACCAATTGGTGTATAGTTTGAATTATGATTAAGAACGAAAGAGTACCTTCGAATTCAGGAGTTAAATTCTGACGCTTAAAGATATCTACTTTGATCTCCTCAAAGTCTATATTATTCACCCTTAAAATTACAGAAAAGGGAAACGAAGGAAAATTTTAAAACAGAGGAACACCCAGATCATAGTTGGTGTGCGGTAGCGAGAAGTAGGTAAGAAATTGTGAAATAAGTGAAAATAAAAGTTCAAATTACTTGCAGAAGATGATGACAGCGCGAGTTGGTTGGGACATTCGATCTGCATAAACTTTGAGCTTCATTTTCCCGTTGATCTTTGCTTTTCCCTCTCTCTTTGTGACTTGGGTGTTGATAGATGGTGCATCCGTTATCTTCTGCCTTTGTTTAAGCTTGTTGACTATAAGGATAAGGAGAATTGGAGGAGCCTCTGATTTTGGTCTGATCTATAGTTTTTATTTTTTTTTGTTTTTAATTTTTTTAAAAATATTTATTGAGTTCTTTTTTCCTTTTATGTGGCAAACCGGATAATCATGACTTTATTAGTGTATATGTCATTTCAATAATTTAATTATATAAAAGTGTTTGACAGACTAAAAAGACGACATAAAAATTTAATTTTTTAAATATTAAATTGAAAAAAAATTGTATGATATCTCAACCAAATCAATATTTATATATAATGAGTAAATATGTAAAAAGGTTCTAATTAAAATGCTTGACTTGGTGTGAGACACCATTTCAAGTGATAGCGGCAGCCCTGGCAGGGTTCTATGTGATGAGACACCCAAGATTCCGCTACAGGTTGCCACCGGTGCCAATTAGCTTCTTCCTCCGGCTGCCTGCCAGGACAGATAGCATGTTGTAGGCTAGACAAGGAAGGTTTCTGACAAAACTATCAAAATCTCGAAATATTTTTCCAAGTCCTCGGTTGTCGTGGTGTGTTTCATGGGATAATCAGCAAGAGTTCTACCGAGATATGAACCATAAATAATTTGTATCTGCTCTTAGCTGACTCACAATTAGAACAAGGTGAAGACTAGTTACGATAATGAAGCTTTTAAATGGATAATATGAAAAAAGTTAGCAAAGTCCAAGAATCTGTAGCCATCTGGTTTCGAAGCTCTCGTTGAGGTCTTTTTTTTTTTGGTACGTAGGATTATCGGGATTTGAACTCTAAAATTAAGAGTTTGCGCTCTGTCAACAAGATTAGATCTAAACATTTATATACAAGATTAGATCTAGAACATTTACCATCTATCACTCAATCTTTATTCCACGTATCCCAAGGTTTTGCAGCTTCTTGGGTCTCTTGTAATTCTTTAACAAGAGGGAGCAGCAAACAACAGTAACTGAAGAGGCAGCCATTGCAGCTCCAGCAATCCACGGAGGCAAACGAAATCCAGTAGATGGAAAAAGAGCCCCAGCAGCTATTGGAATACCAAGAATATTATACCCCAAAGCCCAGATGTAGTTCAGGCGAATTCGAGAAAAGGTTTTCCTGGAAAGGTGTATAGCAGTGATCACGTCCTCTAAGTTGCTCTTCATGAGAACAATGTCAGCTGCCTCTATAGCAATATCTGTGCCAGCACCAATTGCCATTCCAACATCTGCTGCTACAAGTGCTGGCGAGTCATTAATGCCATCTCCTACCATTGCCACAGCATAACCTGCTGCCTGTGATTAAGAAAAATGAAAAAAAAAAAAAAAAAGTGTGCCGGCAACTTTTTTATGAACCACCAACGATCGTATATTTACCTGTAAGTCTTTTATTTTCTCTGCTTTCTGTTCAGGTTTGGCTTCTGCAACAACAGTTTCAATTCCAATTTGCCTGGCAATGGAACTTGCAGTTCTCCAATTGTCACCTGTCACCATGATGCTTCTGACATTCATAGACTCGAGAATGGAGATAACTTCCTGAGCACCTGGTTTCACCGGATCAGATATGGCTAGAACTCCGGTCACTTCCCCATCTATTGATACTAAAATGCCAGTTTGTGCCATCCCTTCAGTTTCTGTTAGCATATCTTGAGCTTCAGCGAGAACCGCAATGCTGTGGTCCAACATCAAGCTCTTGTTTCCCACAATTACTTCTCTGTTCCTGACAACAGCTTTCACTCCATGACCTGTTACAGAGACAAAGTCTCGTGCCTCTGGCCAAGCAGGGTTCTCTTCATCTTCTCTGAGCTTCTTGGCATACTCAACGATGGCCTTGGCTAGTGGATGCTCACTGTTTACCTGACCAATTCATTACCATATTATCAGCATTTATAACAAAAGCATGTTTGAGTCAATCCAATTGAAGTTTGTAAGGTCCACTCAAGTAGTTTTGACTTTTGAGGACTGATAGCATTCATGATTTTATTCTATAAAAAGGACAACTCTCAACCTGTCAGATTTCAGTGGAGAAAAATCGCTACCTCAGTTGCTGCAACAAGCTCGTAGAATTCATGAAGCACCATATTTTTCAAGAGTCTTGTGTTAACAACCACTGGCTTTCCAACTGTGAGAGTTCCCGTCTTGTCAAATACAATGCAATTTACCTACAAGATTGATGGAACTATATGAAGCAAAATAAGAATACCAAGAGGCTCACAAGTAACCAAGTAAGAAGAAAATATTCACTACCTCAGGTTAGCTTAACTAGATTATTTGGTACTTAAAGCTACTACATGTTGCCTTTCGACAAAACTTAACAAAATATTCTCCAAATATTAAGAAGTTCGGATCTACCTTTTTTCCTCTACACTCTTTAGTAAATGAAACATTTGGCTCTAAAAAAAGAAAAGAAACATTCTGAATGTATAACCAAAACTAGCAAAGTGCAAGAAGAAAAGCATATGCTAACCTTATGTGCACTTTCCAATGCTTGACCCCCTTTGATTAGTACGCCTTGAGATGCACCAACTCCAGTACCAACCATGACAGCAGTTGGGGTTGCAAGGCCCAGAGCACACGGACATGCTATGACCATGACTGAGATTCCAAACTGAAGTGCAAGCTCAAACCTGTCCATCGAAGACGGTATCCATGATTCTGGGTAGCCATGGAACTTTCCAGCTAAAAACCAGGCAAGCCACGTTGAAAATGAAAGAATGATCACCTAAGAAAGACCACAGTGAGTTGCTAGCAAAGCCTTGAACATGTGAAACAAATGATAATCCAACTAAAACAACTTTACAGAAACAAGCCTAAGAGTTACATGAAGCATTACTTTATTCTCTTACCAGAGGTACAAAATATTTGGAAATGCGGTCAGCAAACTTCTGTACAGGAGCTTTGGCCATCTGAGCGGACTCAACGAGCCGAACAATCTGTGCGAGTGCACTTTCTGAACCAACCTTTGTTGCCTTAATATGTAATACTCCATTCTCATTAACTGTGCCTCCAATAACTGTATCACCCTTCCTCTTTGCCACTGGCCGTGCCTCTCCTGTTATCATGCTTTCATTTATGTGGCTTTGCCCCCACAAAACAAACCCATCCGAAGCCACTTTAGCGCCTGGAATAATTTTGATAATATCATTCTTTTGTATCAATCGACTATCGATTTCTTCTTCACTTTTCACATTTCCTTCCTTATCCAGAGTCAACAATATTGCTCTCTCAGGTGCAAGATTCATAAGCTTGGCAATGGCCTCAGATGTCTTTCCCTTGGCTAGAACCTCCAGATACTTCCCAAGTAGAATAAATGAAATAAGCATTGCACTTGTCTCAAAAAAATCTGTACCTTCAAAATATGGAGAGGTAGCAGCTCTTAACACTGTGTAGACTGAATAAAAATAGGCTGCATTCGTCCCTAAGGTGATTAAAACATCCATATTGGCAGATCTATGGCGCAATGCTTTGTAGGAACCAGTATAGAATCGACGCCCTATAATGAATTGCACTGGAGTTGATAGCACCCACTTCATAGTCTCACCAAAAGTTAGCATATTGACTACTTTGGTATCCAATCCATGCTTAATTACCGGGATATACATGAAAATCATGGAGGTTAAAAACACAGGAATAGTGAAAATCAAGCTCCATAAGAAGGATCTAAAGTACTGCTTAATTTCTTCCTTTCTATGATTCTCCCTTCCACCTCCTCCTTCAGGAAATATAGTTGCCTTGAAACTCCTGCTACTCCCAGTTGACTCAATCACTCTGATAAAGTTTCTTGGTCCTGTAATATCTGGTTTGTATGAGACTGAAATTTTTTTGAGTTCAAATGATATATCTACAGCTTGAACCCCTGGAAGTGCTTGAAGGGAATTTTCAAGCATTCTCATTGAATCACTATTCTTGACGCCATCAACTTGAAGATCAATCTTGCTCATGTCTTCTTCCGTACTAACTAGTATGGCTTCAAATCCAGCATCTTCTATTGCTCCCATTAGCTGATTGTGGTTCACAATTTTTGGATCATAATGAACTTCTGCTTCTTCAGTTGCTAAAGCCACTTGGGCCTTTTGAACACCACGAATTGCCTGCAAAGCTTTTTCAACAGTGGAGGAGCAAGAAGTGCAGGTCAAGCCGTTAATGTGTATTCGGCATACTTGAATGGATTTCTCATTTGTCTCATCTTCAATCAATGCAGCTTGAAATCCAACATCTTCAATGGCCTCACGAATGGTCTCCTCCTATAAAATGTTTAAAATTTCAAAAGCTTGCCGAACATAAAGATGGCAACAAACAACAGATATGAAATATAAGAAAACAAAACGGAATCAGGTCCAGGATGTGCATAATGAGTTATGAGCCAAATTTTGCAGCTTCATGAAATTGCAGCATAAATGAAATACATTTTTGGCTCTAGCTCATTCACACACTGCCCTCAAGTAAAATCATTAACGTAATGCTTTTAGAATATGATAAGAAAAGAAATGGTTTGTACATAAAGATAGTTATTGAATCATAATATAAACACTTTAAATATCCAGATTGAGGGTGGTGTTCACGTTTTATATTTTCAAGATAGATTGGCTCTTTAATTTTTCATGGCAGGATAAGACACAGAACTGAGCCTGACCTAAAATTTCAGGCCCAGAGCTGATGCCACACTTGGGTTTGTTTATTTAACCCATAAGCTCGGATAACATGGTCCAGGCTAACCATGTTAGCTCCATTGACAAACACAGTGCAACTACCTTCTTTGTTATAGGTGAACCATTATTGGAAGTCAAAATCAAGTTCATTATCATGTGAACTTGACGTATTTCTCCATCCTCCACAAGTAAAGCAACAAAAAAAAAAAAAAAATGAAAAGAAAGCCGATAAAGACGAAGTTGGATAACTAAGAGGAAAAGGAAGAGAAAACCAAATCTTGATTTTTGTTTGTCAGTGAAGGATAATTGATGTAGCTGCAAAAGAATCCATTCTTCGTTTCATTTTTCCTCGAAAGTTAGTCATTTCTGCGTCCAAATAAAGCATGGGCCTATTACAAAGTTATAATTTTGAACTTTTGAAACCTATTAAAATTGATTCTAATTCATCTACTTCTCGGATAACATATTTCAGAGCTAATTTTGACTTATTGCAGCAATGAAATTCCTTAAAGTTTTCAAATTTCTAAGAAGAAAATGGCCAAATTAAGCATCAAATTTTTTGTATCCATTCATTCCAAAAAGAAAGAAAGAATCCTAAACAAATTTTCATTGAACAACATACAAAAAGAAAAAGACAAAACAAAACAAAAAGATAAAGACAACTCAAACTTACATTGACAAAACTTGGGTAGAACATAACTTGTGCCCTGTTGTTCAAAACGTCAACCACAGCTTCCCGGATTCCTGGAAGCCTCTTGACAGCCTTCTCGACGGATCCAGCGCAGGCCGAACATGTCATTCCTGTAACTGAAAACATTGCGCTGGCCTCTGATCCTTGCAAACTCGTTTCTTGTGCCGAAACCCCTTTCGGGTACTTCAGCATCGAAGGATAATGAGGCCTTGGCGACAAATCCCCACAACCATCGTTTCGTATGCATGCCAATGCCAACAACTTCGTCGCCATGTACGAGTTCTTGCTTCTCAATTTTACTGCAAAAGAAACAGGATTTTGTAGTTTTATCAATTTAAGGTTTTTGCCCTGGTTTTGCCTTGCGAATTATAATGTAAAATATATACTCCTATACAACCAAAAAAAAAAACTTCGGGCTACAGCTTTAGCTATGGTATTTATATTTCAGGAAAAAAAGGCAATGGCGAAATGGTGTGTTTATAAGAGTGGAGGTGAAATGGAGGGGGCCAAGCAAAATGTTTTTAACGGAATTTAACTGGGTTGGTTTAAATGGTGTCCCCCCACGACAACGTCAGCTGGCCATGTATCTCGGGAATATGTTCTACCACATTAATTTAGAAAAAAGTAGCAGTAAAACTATGAAAGAGAGACGATTATGTCTCTACAATTTTCCTTGTTTGATTTGTTGTTAATATTTTTTTTCTCCAGTTTTGGTTATTTAAGTATAAAAAATTCAAATTAAAATTGATTTCTCTTATGGTGTTTTGAACTTCATTAAAGGCTAGTTGAAAGGGTTTAGTCATAAATATTGGGGAAATCCTTTTGGTTTTCTTTTTCCCTTTTTTCCAGAGTAGAAAAGAGCAAAATGAAAATATTGTCTTGTTAAAGAGGGAATAACCATTAACAAGAAAATATCAAAATAATATGCAGGTATCATGCAAAGGCTAACAGCATTACCCTAAAGACTTGATAACCTGAACTAGAAAAAAGAAGTCCTTGAATTATGCCAGAATCATGCTTAGAAGTTTCTACGATATGTTAACAGAGAAGAGAAGCAAATAAAGACTTCACGTGAAAGATACATATTGACACTAATTTCAGACACCTAGTTACATCTTTTCTTATGCTAGGAAATACTTATATATATAGTTGCTTGAACCATCGCCAAATTTAAATTTTAAATTTATTGAATATTATATTTTAAAATGAGTATATAAACTAATTGATTAAGTTTCGAATGAGTTCACACACAAAAAACTTGCAAAACAATATACTTTTTAAGTAATTCAAGCAATGGGGTCTTGCTTAGAGCATTGCTAACCTTGATTTCCAGTTTTTTTTTTTTTTTTCTGTCCTTTGAATATAAAATTGCCTTGTCAAAGACTCAAGGTTATACTATTTCCTTTTAAGTTTTAACCTTAGGTCAGATGACATTAATTAATTAATGGATTAGTGAAGTCTAGCTAGAAAATATTATGATAGAATCTTGATTTGATTTTAAGATCCCATTATTGAATGTCCAGACAGATAGCAGCTAGATCCGTGTGCAATAGGGCAAAAGAACACTGCTTAACAAATTTTTTACTTGCTATTAAAAGAACATCCAATCGTTCCGAAATAAATCGAAGGGTGCAATTGTTAGTTTTTTTTTTTTTTTTTTTTAAATCCAGGGATTAGATGTAGTCTTTGGTCAATGTTGATGAAACAAGTACCAACGAATTTTGCTTTTTACATCTGTTTTCTACATTTTCTTTTGTTAATATTCTTATATTGTTAAGTACTTTTTTTGTATTATTTTATGAAAGTAAAAAATTAAACTTATTCAAAAGTTGGATTATTTGTTCAAATTTAAAAATTTATTAAAGTTTTGAAAAAAATTTAAACAAAAAATTAAAATTTATTAAATAGATTTAGACATAATTTTTAAATTCGTTTAAATTTTATATTAAATTTTAGACAAAAAAAATTAAAATTCGGATTTGATCCAATCTAAATAAAATATATAATTAAAATATTATAATTATATAAATATATATATGTAAATTTTTTTAATATTTTTTTAAAAATAATTTTTTATTATATAAATAAATTTAAATTTATTTTTTTAATTTGAATCGGGTTTGAAAAATTTTAAAACTCAAAATTTCAAATTGAATCATATCTAAATAATTATATAAACTACTAATATAAAGTATTAATATAACCTAACCCATAAACACCTTCAGCCAAAACCAACATGGTTTTGGTCCTCCCCAGACTCCCCGTAGCAGTTTTCTCTAGTTCTATATTGGTTACCAAATGAAAGGTTGTACACTGAACAGAGAATTACTAGATGCTTTTAAGCTGATTTGCTTGGGATAAATTTTGCTAGTACTTTAGTTAAAAGTATTTGACGGTCAAAAAAGTATAATAATTTTTTTTTAATCTTTCAATAAATAATTAAATATAATATTACATTGATTTTATTTTAATTATTTTTTAATCATTTTTAACTTACTTATAAATATAAAGATTCAGATATTATAAAATCAAATTTATCACATTCATCTCTTTTTTTTTTATTACGTTTTTACATTTTTTTCGATTTAATTTTTAGTTATTTATACGTTGAAATGTAAATATAAAAAATATCTATTATTTTTATCTTTAGCTGTTCTTTTTTTTTTTGTATTTTCATGAATATTTTTAAGTCAAAACTTGATATCAACAGCTTTGAAAGTGAATCAAATATCAAAAATTAATTTGTCAAAAAATTAATTTTTTTAATAAAAATTAAATATGAATATCCTAAATTAAAATATGTCAGCTCTACACCACAGTTTGAAAGGAAAAAATATGGTTAATTTCTAATTAAATCTCCTTTTTAGTTATTTTTTTATAATAAAATAATTCATGTTTAATAAATTTTGATTTATTTTGATTTAAAAATATTTTTTTAATTTAGATCAAATTGAGATGAGATAATTTTTTTAAAAAAAAAAAAATTGACATCGAATATGAAACGAACGAATTGATATAAAATTAATTATTTCTTTAATAAATATATGATTTATTATTTCTTTAATAAAATTTATTATTTAATAATAAATGGAAACGGGACGGGTCTTGAGTTCCCTAACCCTAACCTAATTGCTTAAAAAGAAGAAAAAAAAAATCCCAAGCATATGTTTTGTGCAAAGTGTCCTCGTATATTACGAAGCTATTACATTCCTCATCGACTTATTCATTTTAGTCTTTCAGTATTTGCTTACTCTCCCACCAGAAACAACTGGAAACATATGAGATTAAGGCAAGTATCTTTCTGAAAGTTTTGTCCTGTAAGTCGTTGAAGTTCATTTTTTTTAGATTTTATCTTCTCTTCTTCATGCTTATGGATTCATTCTCCACCTTTCCTTTCCTAAAACATTAGACCCATTAAACAGTTACCAAAATCCAAGTAAAATATGTAAAAGAAAGAGCATTTTTTTATACTGAGATGGTCATTTTTCAAGGTAACAGAACTTTGGTTTGGATAGTTGAAGATGGGAATTCTATGATTACAGTTAATTTTGTTAATTGGGTTGTGCTTGTATTTTGTGTTTATAGATATTACAAAGCTGTTGTCAAGAAAAGAGAAATAGTTTCTGAAATTGTTTGATATGTTTCTGTTCTATCCAATTTGCAATTGGTTTGTTTAATTTGGCGGCATAAAGATGGGAATAAACAAGGAGAAGTATGCTGCTGATCTCTCCTCCATCAGAGAAGCACAAGCACGCATCGATTCTTTCATACACAAAACTCCAGTCATGACCTCAGAGTCTCTAGATGCTATTTCTGGAAGGAGGTTATTCTTTAAGTGTGAATGTTTCCAAAAGGGGTGAGAAACAAGTTAATGGTAAATTGTAATGATTTGTTACCTGTTTTTATTCTTGCTCTCCAAATTAAGACTTCGGCTATATGTTGCTTAACAGGGGAGCATTCAAATTCAGAGGTGCTTGCAATGCTATATGTTCACTTGATGACCGTCAGGCTGCTAGAGGAGTTGTAACCCATAGCAGGTTTGCGCTAAGCCCATCTATGACCTATACCTTGTCATCAACAATCTTACTTTGTTTCTTCCCCCTTACTATTTTATTGGAATATACCTGATCACATCCTTCAAAATTAGTGGTAACCATGCTGCTGCGTTGGCATTGGCCGCAAAACTACGCGGTATCCCTGCATATATAGTTATACCAAAAAATGCTCCGCAATGCAAAGTTCAGAATGTCATGCGTTATGGTGGTCAGGTTATATGGAGTGAGGCAACAATTCAGTCAAGGGAGCAAACTGCAGCCAAGGTGTTGCAAGAAACTGGGGCTGTTCTTATACATCCTTATAATGATGGGCGCATTATGAGGTAGTCACTGAACATTTCTATAAATTATGCATTTCTAAGCTGTGACTGTTATAATTTGATGTTATATGGTGAATTAGATAACATGAATATCTTTTTCAGTGGGCAGGGTACCATATCCCTGGAGCTTTTAGAGCAAGCCCCTCACATAGACACCTTAATAGTTCCCATAAGTGGTTTGTTTTTGCAGCTTTCTCTGTCAATTTTATGATTTTTCGTCCTGCATCATCGTCATTTGTCATTTTTTTGGACGATTATTTTTTTCTCAACTATAAATAAATATTGAAAAACTACAGGAGGCGGCTTGATATCAGGGGTGGCATTGGCTGCCAAGTCCATCAATCCGGCCATTCGAGTTTTGGCTGCTGAACCAAAGGGAGCTGATGATGCATCTCAATCAAAAGTGGCTGGTAGAATTGTAACCTTACCTGAAACAAATACAGTAGCTGATGGGCTGAGAGCTTCCCTTGGTGAACTCACCTGGTAATGGCAATTCCATGGTGTCTTGTTGATGTGTCCAGAATGTATACCCAGTTTGTAGATATTTTCTTTTCTCAATTAGTGCATTGCAGTTGTTTGTTTACCCTTTCTTTCCAAACATTTGTTTGTATATGGCACACTACCACCACAGATAGCTTTTAGGAACTACATGTACTTGTTTGTCTATGCATTTCCCTCATTATATGCCTTCTGATTGATTAGGCCCATAGTACGAGATCTTGTTGATGACATAATAACTGTGGATGATACGGAGATAGTTGAAGCAATGAGGCATTGTTATGAGATTCTTAAAGTTGCAGTGGAACCAAGTGGAGCCACCGGCCTTGCGGCTGTCTTATCTGATACTTTCAGGAACAACCCTGCCTGGAAGGATTGCAACCAAATAGGAATTATACTTTCAGGAGGTAATGTAGATCTCGAAGTGCTGTGGAATTCATTTAGAAAATGAAAATTACATATGTTATTGTTCCTAAGTAAACATTTTCTTTCTCTTCAAATTGAGCTTGGTTTCATAATGCTGATATGAAATTGAATTACTTGGTCGCAACCAGACTTCTTTTTTGTTGTTCTGCTATTCTATTCTAATGTTTTTGAGAGTATTGCCAATCATAAGCTTTTAGACTCTGTTCGTGCTTTCCAAATCATGAAAAAAAAACTTGGAGAAATGCCAGTTTAAGATGGCAATTTATTTCGTATCACCCAAACCCTCAAGGGCGTCAATTAGTTTATGAAACCTAAACCAGAAAAACCTAGAAAAGAACCTCTATGCTTTGGCTTAGAGATTGGACAGTACCACGTTGGTCATATTCTTCCACGAGTAACTTGAAGAATGAACCCGTGTCAGAAACCGGATTTCTTCTCAATTCCTCACTAGTCACAGTAATAGTTATCATAGTTATTTTTTACCACAATGCAAGAGGTTAATAAAAGAAAATTCAAATAATAAAAATATTCCAAACACAAGCGCGATCACCAGAAACATGCAATGCGAGATTGCATCAACAGATTCCACATAAGCAAGAATGTTTTAAAGCACAACAAAAACATCCAAATGTCCTAAAAGCTGGATGAACAAGGGGCAAGCATTATTCCATCTGTTTTAAGCCTCTTCATATTCCTCCTCTTCCTCGTACTCTTCGTCATCTGCAGTTGCATCCTGGTATTGCTGGTACTCTGAGATCAAATCATTCATGTTGCTCTCAGCTTCTGTGAACTCCATCTCATCCATCCCCTCTCCAGTGTACCAGTGCAAGAAAGCCTTCCTGCGGAACATGACAGTGAATTGCTCACTGACCCTCCTGAACATCTCCTGGATTGAAGTAGAGTTCCCGATAAATGTGGCTGCCATCTTCAAGCCATTAGGAGGTATGTCACAAACAGTGGACTTCACGTTGTTTGGAATCCATTCAACAAAGTATGATGAGTTCTTGTTTTGCACATTCATCATCTGCTCATCAACCTCTTTTGTGCTCATCTTGCCACGGAACAGGGCCGATGCTGTGAGGTATCGACCATGTCGAGGATCAGCCGCACACATCATGTTCTTGGCATCCCACATTTGCTGAGTAAGTTCAGGGACGGTGAGGGCTCTGTACTGCTGGGAACCACGAGATGTGAGAGGTGCAAAACCAACCATGAAGAAATGTAGCCGAGGGAATGGAATGAGGTTTACAGCAAGCTTGCGGAGGTCTGAGTTAAGCTGACCAGGGAAGCGAAGGCAGCATGTAACACCACTCATGGTGGCAGAAATTAGATGGTTGAGATCTCCGACTGAACATCAAATAGTGCAAGTTAGTTTCCATACAAAATGAAGGAAATGCGAAATGACCAAGTTGTTGGCTTGCATTGTTGCATCAAATTGAAAATCCCCAAATCTTTTTTATATTCATTTTTGTTTTTTAAAGATCCAAAAACTAATTGCTCTGCTTTATACGCTGCACATGTCAAATAGAAAGCCCCATTTGCTAAAGTGCATGACTATAGTATAACTGAAGGTATTATTTAAGCATAGAACAACATATCAACCATATTCTGGCCAAAGTCTATGAAAGTAGGACCTGCGTGAAATCACCACTGTATTTTTTTGCAAATGAATAACTCTTGCATCAATGAAAACAGTGCCAATAATCCAGTAGCTAACTAAAATGTTAGTATCGATGATAACCTTATCATAAACTAATCATAGCGATTACTGGTTAGTGAACAATGTGTCATTCCTATTATAATATTTTGCTTATAAGTGCCATACTCTTGTTATTTTAGAACTTTCCTAGACATCCCAAAATGGCCCAACCAAAATCTTAATCCAATCTTAGGTAAAATGCCCTAGAAAGTAATACCCATGTGAATCCCAACTGTATCTGTGCAATTACGAGCAAAGACAGAGAAGAGAATCTAAGATTCATATGGCTCATTCAACCTCACAATAAGTACAGAGAAAAACGGGCTAATACTTCACAGTTTTTAACCCTCCCAAAGTGAAATCTAAATGAAAAGATTATGGATCTTATATTGAAATCGCCAATTCAGACACAAAACTGAAGCAACAAGTTCCATATGGAACGACAATCAGGGCCACCCCATGACCAGAAAGTCGTTTCTTCCTAGTTTGGATTGGAAAATTATTGCAGATAAAATAGTAAATACTAGATGGACAAAGTAAGACAAATCAAAAGAAACTTCATTTGCAAGAAAACCAAAAGTACTTACAACTTGGAGCGGTGAGCTTGAGGGTACGGAAGCAGATATCATAGAGTGCTTCATTATCAAGAACCATACACTCATCCGCATTTTCCACTAGCTGATGAACTGAGAGTGTTGCATTGTAAGGCTCAACAACAGTATCTGAAACCTTAGGGGATGGGAACACCGAAAAGGTAAGCATCATTCGGTCCGGGTACTCTTCCCTTATCTTGGATATCAACAACGTTCCCATTCCGGAACCAGTTCCTCCTCCCAAAGAATGGCATACCTGAAACCCTGTAACCAAACAACCCAAATTTAAGATTAACCTAAGGAACCTTTAAATTAAGCAAAAGGGTTAAAAAAACCATAAAATTAAATTTTAATAATTATTCAAACCTTTTTTTTTCAATTAATTAAATCTTCAAACATTTATTTTCAATAATTAAACCCTTATTAGAAGAAAATTTGTTACCTATTTCCGTCCAACCAATGACTTAATTAAATGAAAATAAATATTTAAAGGTTCAATAAAAATATATGATTAAAGTTTCAACTAATTTCAAATAAAAAATTCAAAATTTAATTAATTGTAATAAAATATCATAAACTTAAATAATTATTAATTTTTTTAAAATTTCTTTATCCTTTTACCTTTAAATTATTATAGTAAAAGAAAATGCAATAATTACCTTGTAAGCAATCACAATTCTCGGCTTCTTTTCTGACGACGTCGAGAACGGAATCAATAAGTTCGGCTCCTTCCGTGTAGTGTCCCTTAGCCCAGTTGTTTCCGGCTCCTGACTGTCCGAAAACGAAGTTGTCAGGTCGGAAAATTTGTCCGTACGGACCGGACCTGATGCTATCCATGGTGCCTGGTTCCAGATCCATCAACACCGCCCGGGGAACAACGCGGCCGCAACTTGCTTCGTTGTAGTAGACGTTGATATGCTCCAACTGGAGACCCGAGTCGCCATGGTATCGACCCGTTGAGTCGATGCCGTGCTCGCCGCATACGACCTCCCAGAACTTGGCCCCTATCTGGTTGCCGCATTGACCGCCTTGGATGTGGAGGATTTCTCTCATTTTCTCGGAAAGGAACAGCAAGTTGGAGAGGAAAAATATACTACAGAAAATAAAAAGGCGGGGGTAAAAGAGGGTCGAGTGGGGTTTTATAGAGGAGTTAACGGTTTCCGTTAGATGGCTGCTGACGGAGATGGGGTTAATATTTGGTTAGTGACGGACATTTCATTTTAGTAGGAACTTGAAATTTTGAAGTTGGGATTTGGTTCAGTGCTGGTGGTGACTGTGAGTAAAACTATTGCAATTACTGAATTTATTACGTGGTTTCTGTTCGTTGGAGACTCAGAGAATGAGGCTGGCTACATAGTATTACTCGGGTTTCAAAAGAACTCGAATTTGATTCATTATTGTCGATGGGCTCACGGTGCTCAGTTCATACATTCGATATTTTTCTGACTCGAGTTCGCGAGCCTTCGAACTTTTATTTAAATATAATTTTTAATTAATATATTTCAATCCGATTGATTGAGTTGAGCATGAATTCAATCTGTCGAATGAATCAGCTATTTTACATTTAATAGCTTATCAGCAACTCGAGTGTATTATCACAATATGAGCTTGAATTAACGAAGCTCAATATCAGCCCGGATTGTGAAGCTCAGCTAATTTACGATCGGCTTTAAGCCTAGTACTGGCCTTACCAGATCATGCTTCAATATTCTTGCATCTCAAAGAACGAGAGAAAGATTAAATGGTCAGGCCACATAGTTAATACATTTTACTTTCTTGCTTGATTCTGTACTTTATTACCTTTTCTTACTAGATTCTCCAGTTTATTACCTTTACTGGAATGAATAATTTAATTTAATTAATTTATATAATAATTTTAAAAATAATATTTAATAAATTTAAATTTTATATTTCAATATTTATAATATTTTTATTTACTAATTATTATCTTATTTATAAAAACTTACAAACAATGTTCATATTTAATGATTTTTAACAATACTTGATAAGATTAAAAATAATACTTGGGCTGTGTAGCTTTTCCTCAAATGATAAAAGGGCATAAACTTTTGATGGTGATCCAAATTTTGAATAAAAACAAAAAGAATCATCCAGTTTTAATAAAATATATTTTATTGCAGAAATATCATTTAAATTTGATTTTTCAACATTTGAGATTTTGATAAAACATGAAACTGAAGTGAGAATTAACAAAAAACTTAATTTAATTAGAGTAGTGCAACTTTTTTATGATAGTTGAATTTTTGAGTAAATTTGATAATTTAAAATATGATACAATGATACGATATGAATAAAAAAAATAAAAATAATATTTTTTAAAATTTTAATAATTATTATATATGAGTTTAATAAAATTAAAAATATATATTATGTTTTTGTATTAATACTAATTATGACATTTAAATTTCGTATAAAATATAACACGAATATATGAATTTCAATATTTTATTCAATACAAATATACAAATTATTAGATCTACTTCTAACAACTCTTTTCATAAAATTCTTGATTGCATGAATAGATAAGAGGGCACATGCTGGGGTACTGTTTTGTAAATGAAGCTATAAGCTATAAGATTTTGATTCCATGGCTACTTGCTCCAACATTATTTTTTGTACTTGGAAACTTGCACTTTACTCTCTTAAGTAAAATTATTAATATGTATCGGATAATATTTATTTTTTTAAAAAATATGATATATATCTATATCAATTGTTTTGATATATTATTTTAAAATTTTTTATTTAATATAAATGCATAAATTTATACATTATAATATTATTAATAAGCCACATAATAAATATGTAATATATTTAAATCAAATAAATAAGTTTAAAAATATAAAAATAATATTATAAATTTTTTATGATATTTTTAAACACTTAATTTGATCATATGATATTTAAATAAGTATTTTTTATATAAATATTAAGATAAAAAAAGTGATGAAAAAATTTAATTAAATTATTTAAATCAATTTAGATTCGATTTAATTTTTTTCAATAATGTATGATATTATAAATTGTTTAAATATCGAAAAAATCGATATTTTACTTTTCAATTCAAATTTAATATATATTTAAAATTTAAATTTAATTTAAATTAAATAAAAAAATCAATTCAAACCACCTCAAACACTACAGTTTCATACCATTTTGTTTTTAATTTTTTTCTCACTGTTACTACTGAAATGCTGAACATTCAACTTTTAGTTTTGGATATACCAGAAGCTTGACAAAACAGAAGCATGGCAAGTCATATCCAAAACATAGAGCAAACAAAACCATCAATTTTTTCCTCCAAATTCCCTCCTTTCTTAAAACCAAAATTCACCTCTCATAACCCCTAAAAACAAGGATCTCTTTTCTCTTTTTACTCTCCACAGACCATCATTCAGCCTCTTGCTCCCTCTCCCTCTCCCTCTCCCTTTAACTGCTTCACATCTCACAAAGGCCCCCTCTCTCATTGGTGGCAAAATGGTCTGGTTTCTTCCCTCTCTCCCTTTCCCTTCTCTTTATGATCAATTAGATTTCTTAAAGACACTCATAAGGGATTATGGATGGTTATAATCATTTTTTTTTAAATTATAGGTGTTCATTCAATCAATTTGATTAATTTTAAATTTAATTATCCAAATTGAATTAAATGAATTATATTATTTTTATTTTCATTAATCGAATCAATTTTTTTAATTTAAAAAATTAATTGATCAATTTAATTTAATCATTTCAATTAATTTTTGATTAACCGAATAATAAATACATTTAAGTTAAATTATATTTCAAACTCTTAATTTCTCATATTTTAAACAAATTAAATAAAATTATTCAATAAAATATTAAAATATCATGTTAAAAACTCTAATACTTATTAAATAAAATGATCAATTTCATATATTTTTCATTTTATATTTGAATTATGTTATATTTCGATTAAAATTTTAATGAATTTGATTTTCGAACCGAATTAATTGAAAATCAAAATTTCTTTGAATCATTTTCGCTAATTAATTGAATTTAATTCAATCATCAATTTATTAATCAAATTAAATCAATTAATTCAATTAAAACCAAATTATAAACATCCTACAAAAAATTCTCCCCCCCATTGCGGGTCAAGACTTCAGGCCTCTCCAAGGGCAAGGACCAACAAGCCTAACATTAGTTTTGCCCTATATTTCAATTCTATGATTTTTTTTACATACTTTGTTGGTTATTTATGAAGATGAATAATCAATTCAAACAATGCTTATATTTGGTAGGGGATATGGGCAGGCGAATTCAGCATCAGGAATGGCTGTGAACGATTAATGTAAGATGAGGTTCTTGGAACTAAAAGCAAAGAGAAGCTACAGGTTCATTGTTTTCAAAATCGAAGATAAGATCCAACAGGTTGTGGTTGCGAAGCTAGGTGGATCCAGCGACAAGTATGAAGATTTAAGAGCAAGTTTGCCTCCTAATGAGTACCGTTATGCCGTCCATGATTTTGATTTCACTACTGACGAAAGTTGCCAGAAAAGCAAAATTTTCTTCATTGCATGGTACCAACATTTCAACAACTACATGCTTTTTTCATGCACATTCACAACAAGTTTTTGGACACTAGATTTTATTTATCCAAAATAATATATAACATGAATTTGAAATTTAATTTTATTGATTCAGGTAATAATTTTTATAAATTGACATTCAACATACTTAAAATTTAAATCTTAACACTTACAATATTCTTTTATCTTTCTCATATTATGGTCTTCATAGCCATAATCTCTGTGTTAATAACTGTTTTATAATTTTGGTTATAGGTCTCCTGACACATCGAGGGTGAGGAGCAAAGTGTTGTATGCCAGCTCCAAGGATAGATTCAGAAGAGAGCTAGACGGTGTTCAAGTTGAATTGCAAGCGACTGATCCGACTGAAATGAGCTTTGACATTGTCAAAGGGCGAGCTCTCTGAAAAGCTAAAGTTAACCTTGGATCACTGACCTAATCTCTTCACTTCTAAAAACCATGCATTGGGGGCCTTGAACAATTTTCAATTGCCATAATCATCAATTTAGTTAGTAGTTCAGAGCTGATATATTGAACGTAAACTACAGTTACCAAATCTCTAAACTGAAATGTTGGCAATAAATCTGGCTGTCAAATAAAGGGCTTGGCTGATGTTGTTGAATCAAATTCTTATGTTTGAGAAGAACTTGGGTTGGATTAGGGTTGGTTTTCATTGTAAAGTGATGTTGTTGAAAGGTTAAATTATGAGTAGGGATCACCATTTTTACATCCCATTTTTCTTCAAAATTTTCCCTATTCCCTTGCTTTTAATCACTGGGGTGATTTTTATGAAATGGTTTTTGTTTAAAGATAGGTGAATTGTTCTTTCTTTTAGTTCATCTTGAATTTTTTTTTTTAATTTTAAATTGATAAGAAGAGTATATATGTCAATGGATAGGGTATAAGTAGGTAGAGTATTCTTCATTCCCATCTTCATTTCTAAATTTTTATATTAAATCGATTCTCATATCCATACCTCACAGATATTTTAAATTTATTTTCATTTTTATTCTTACGGATATTTAATGAGTATAGATAATTTCATACTCGTAAATTTTTAAAAAATAAAAACTTAAATTTATTTTTTAATATTTTTTATTTATATATTGTATATTTAAGTAATTTTTTTATTAATATATATTTTTCAATAAAAATATATTAATTCTAATTAATCTAAAATAATAATTTAAATTATTTAATAAAAAATTTATTTATTAAATATATATAATATATATAATATAAATACGAAACAAATATTATATTATCCATCTTTATTTTCATATCTAATAAAAATTTAAAATAATTTTCGTCTCCGTCCTAATTTTTATACTTACAATATAATATTTATCTTCATTTTTATTGAGATGAAAAGTTTGGTTCCTTGAAAATAAGATTAATATTCCTTAAAGAGAGAACTCTTTTCCTATATTAAATTAATTATAGTTTGATTTTTTGTATAACATTTTAAACAAATTAAATGTACTAAATTAACGGGAAAAAATACAGCCTTAAAATGATTAGAAAAAAAAATTAAACCCAAATAAAATAAAATAAAAAGCCCTAGAAAATTATATATTCGTTAAACGATATCGTTCAGATTACACTTCGCTTCCCTTCCTCGCATTATCTAGGGTTTTAGACTTTGAGCTTCGCACTTTCTTTCTCTTCTCTAAGCCAAAACATGGAAGAGTCCGGCGCCCCCGCCCTTACCCTGAACCCGGCATCATGTTGGAGCAACGTACTAAAGAGCCAACCACCAAAGCCCCAAGCTCAAAACCAAACCACGGCGACAAGCCAACTCTTCGTCGAAAGCTGCAAATCCACGAAGGGAATAGCGGTGGCCGTAGTGGATGCCAACGCCGTCATCGAAGGTGGAGAGAAGCTCAACAACTCCGCTGACAAGTTCGTTACCGTCCCCGAAGTCCTTGCGGAAATTCGCGACCCTGTTTCTCGCCACCGCTTAGCCTTTATGCCTGTATCCATCGATTCCATGGAGCCCTCTCCCGATGCCCTCAATAAAGGTATTGACTTTTAACTTCAATTTCCAATTCTTACGGCATTTGTTAATTGAGTGTTTTATTTGATCTTGTAGTTATCAAATTTGCGAGGGCAACTGGTGATTTGCAGACTCTTTCGGATGTTGATCTCAAACTGATTGCCCTGACATATACATTGGAATCTCAGATTCATGGAACAAATCATCTTAGGGATGCTCCTCCCCCTGTTCATGTTGTTAATGTAAAAAGGCTGCCTGAAAGGGACTTGCCTGGATGGGGCTCTAATGTTCCTAATTTGGAAGAGTGGGAAGCACTCGAACGGGAAGCTGAAGATGGATTGAACTCTAACTCAAGAATCCTTCCCTTGAAAGACTTGAATATGAACATTGTCGCTTCAGATAACCGTTCTGAAGATGGGTTGGTGGAAACAAAGGGTGAAACGCATTCTGAGAATCAAGAGGACGATGAACAGGGTTTTAGGAGGCCTAGGCGATATTTACCCCAGAAAAAAGAGGTAAAAATCGAAGGGAAAAAGATGGTGGCTGATGGGATTGATGCATCTCAGGGACAGTTTGATGATAACGGTGATGATTGGCAACCTGCTGTAAGTCGAAGTACTCATAGGAGATATCTTAGGAGGAAAGCTAAGCGGGAATACTATGAGGCATTACTGGAGAAAGATTGTCAAGAAGATATTGGTAAAAGCATGGATCAGAACAATGTTGAAGACTCAAGTGGCCCTGATCAGCTGTTGCAACAAAGTGCTGAAGAAGCTAATTCTGGAAATGGGATTTCTGAGGAGGCTGAGCGGGCAGAGGATGAGAAGGGTGATGGAGATCTTTCTTCAATCCTAAAACAAATGAGGCTGGAAGAAGATTCAGTGAGGACGCTTCGAGAAGCAAAAGAAGCAGAGACCACAGTGGAGGAAGCTGTGTCAGATGACAATCTGAATCTTGCTGTTGAAGGAGATAAGGTGGACCTGGTCCATGAAGAATTACACCAGTTGGAGATGTCAAGTCAGACCAATGAAACTGTTGATGCCTCATATGCAGATGATGTTAGCAGCGAGCAGAGCTGGATGCTGAGATCCTTATCTGAGTCCAGTGTAGCTTGTGTAACTGGGGACTTCGCTATGCAAAATGTTCTTCTGCAGATGGGTTTACGATTACTAGCACCTGGTGGAATGCAAATTCGGCAGCTGCACAGGTATATCTTCAACGCATATATGAGTACTGGTGCTTGTCAGTTATCTTTTCAAACTTCAATCATCAAGGCATGTCAAAATTAAGTATTTTGATGCATATGTGGTTATTCTTGATATATATATATATATATATATATATATCTGTATGTAGATGGATACTGAAGTGTCATGCCTGCTATACTGTGACTGCTGAAATCGGAAGAATTTTCTGTCCCAAGTGTGGAAATGGAGGGACTTTACGTAAGGTAGCTGTTACTGTTGGTGAGAATGGAATTGTTTTGGCATCCCATCGGCCAAGAATTACTTTGCGTGGTACAAAGGTGAGTTCATTTACATAAGCAATGGGGGCAAAAGATAACGGTCACTTTTTGAGTACGGTTCTGTTGATTATTATATTTTCACTGCGGTCTGGCAACAGTCTTATGTTTCTTTCTTTGGGTTGGCTGTTGACAAAATGATATGCTTTTGAGAAACCTTCATTGCTGTGTGCAGTTTTCACTGCCTTTACCCCAAGGTGGAAGGGATGCCATAACCAAGAACCTCATTTTGCGTGAAGATCAGCTACCCCAAAAGTTCCTTTACCCTAAAACAAAGAAGAAAGTAAATAAACAGGTTCGTCTCATAATTTTTTTATAATAATTCTTTGGTGATTTTGATTTTTGTTTCTGCACCATGTATTTATTTCACTTGTTAATTTACAGCTGAGAGATGTGTTCTATTTTATATAGGGGGATAATGATTTCTTCATGGCTGGGAACGCCTTCACTCACCATACTGATAAGAGAGCACCTCTTCAGCCGCCTGTCAGAAAAGCATTAGCGGTATTTAGTGGAAAAAGGAATCCAAATGACAACCATTACTCCCGATCAAAGCATAAGTAACTTTACGGCACTTTCTTTTAATTTATATTTTTCCTTGAGAACTAGATATCGATAACAAGTTCCTTAGCCCTTATGCTTGTTAAGTCATATGTAATGATTTTTTAACTAGCGTGCTATGTATTTTTTTGTCTTGGAATGGGCTCAATCTTGGAGAGATTTTGTTCAACTACATCTGAAATTATATGTGGCAGAAGCAATTGAGGAAAAAGAACTACGGTATGCCACCGTTTCTACAGTGCATGTTTTGGAGTGGCTGGAATAATGCATGGTTTCCCTCTGTTTCTTTTTCGCTGAGTTGGCACATATCTCCTTTGGATATCTTTGAATAGGACATTTCTCTTTTATTGTCATGTTGGCAAATAGCAAGGGCAACAATTAGTCTTTTTTGTGTTCTTTAGTAGTTCTCTGTTCTCAGAATCTCTGTTCGGTTTGTGTTCTAAAGCACCATTTAAGGAAGCGCGGGCGACAGGTTATTTGTCATTGTTCTTTAATTAAATCCTTTGGAATTCATCTCCATGAATTAGGAATTAGTAAAAGTGTTACCCAAATAGCTTGATTTATGAAACTTCAAAGTTATTTTATTATGTAACTTTGTAAAATTCTAGATTGGAAATGTATCCAAGCAGGTTAAAATTTGCAGCCACTTGCCTGATGGAATAAACCTACATTCTCTTGTAGGTTGAATCAGGATAGATTGAGCTATATCTACCTTGAAGTCTCTTGCTAAAATCCCAAAACTATCACATTGTCAATCTTTGGCTTTCCTTGGTGGGGAGGTTGGGAAATGATAAATTCCCATGTTCTATTGTACAATAAGAATGTGGTTATAGATCTTGATCATCAGTTTCATCGTTCTTCTACCAAATTTGGTAGCAAAGTTTCAACCCTATGTCCTGTCCAGCTCACAGTAGCTCACATTACGCCTGGCATAAACTTGGACTAAATGATGCCTTAAATTCGATTAAACCATAAGCAACTAATAAGATATTCCTATTCATTCTATTTGACCAAAAAATGTCTTAAAATATTTTGTTCTCGAATACTTTTTAAATAGGAATGATGAAGATTGAAAACCTGACAGAGGTTTGTCTTGGGCATCATTTTTAGACAAGTATATGCCATGTTCTGTTAAGAGTATCAGGCAAAGTATTTTTCTCAAAGATTATTACAAGCATGCACTCAACATGTCTAAAACATAACCAACGATTTCATTGAGCATGTTGAGACAACATGAACTTAATTTACATATATAAAACTGATTGTACCGACCAAATTAATCAGCTATTATGCGATTTCAGAAAATTTTCTGAACATCCAATGGTATACAATGAAAGTGGACATTAGTATGAATGAAGCCAAATGTTTCTTTTGGCATGCAGCATTTACAATGATCAAAAAGATTGAATAAAAGAAAAAGGGTAAAACTGTATGTATTCGATGTACAGTGTGTTAGCTTTAACTCAATCATGATGAAAGAGCAAGTTCAGCCCATGCCAAAGAAGATGCCTTGAGATCAACGGATACCGATGTGTCAATTCTGCTCTCCAACATCAGGCTTATTTCCTGCATGGATGGCCGTTTTGAAATGTCTGAATGAATGCAAAGGCTTATCACTTCACAGACAACTTTGAGGTCATCATAGCTGAAATGTTTTAGCTCTGGGTCCACAATGCAAGACATTACTTCTGGTAATTCAAGATAGTCCCTGGCCTGTAATGCATGCAGTAACATCAAGTATGTTTGTCTATAAGAATACTAAGAACTTGAAATTTCGTTAAAAATGGGGATTTCAGAAAGGTTGCTTACCCAATCTATCAAGCTCCCTCTGTCTTTGCAGAATGGAGGCCTTCCACTAATTATCTCCAGTAGAAGTATGCCAAAAGCATGAATATTTCCCTCGATATCCAGATGACGATTCTCCACAGAATTAGGAAGTAGACAAATGGCGCCATTGTTGCCGATAGAGCCAGAGTTATTTTTTGATCTAGCAAGAATAGTCTTCCAACTTTCAAAATCAACCAACTGCTTCACAAGAAAAGTTCTTAATCAGAAGAATCTCAGCTAAAATTCAAATTTTCAACCGGCAAGATACCAGGACAGACCATATTATTCATCACCCCAAGTATGTTGGGTACGAAAACAGAAATTTACCAGTATATACTTTTTCTTAGATAAGGTACGAATGACCCTAACTCAAGTACCCCCTGATCATGAAGAAAATATTAGATGCTCACACATGCAAGGGCAAGAGGTGAGGAGAAACCTTGGGGGAAAAATCCTCTGTAAGATACACAGCACTAGATTTTAACTCTGATATAGTGAATGGTGGCTCAAGTTCTGTATGAAGATACTTGAGTCCTCGAGCAATGCCAAGAATAATTCTCATACGCCTTGTCCAAGATAATTGGGATCCTTCTCCATCTGCATTAAAATTCATTACTCAGGCTAAAGCCGATAAAAGAAATGTTATCATTGTATGTGAGTGAGAGAGAGAGAGAGAGAGAGAGAGTAAGCTTACAATGTAAATGCTCATAGAGCGTTCCATTTGATGCATATTCAAAAACAAGCATCCTTGTAAATGGAGTGTTCTCTCTACAGTAACCTAGTAATTTCCCTATATTCTCGTGATTCAATCTTGCCAAATCTGCCACCTGAATAGCAATTAAACAAAAAACTTAGAACCAATTACTCCAACTTCGTTAATTTTTGCATTTTCAAGCTGCTTCACGTCTTTCAACAAATTAATCTTTTCGTCAAACTGTTATAGGAAATAACAAGTACCTCTCTCTGGAAATAGAGCTCAAGATAACCAGTCCATTGCTCCTCTTTGAGGCAGAGCGATATCACAGCAATTTCAGGCCCACCCTTCATGGTGCCTTTGTAGACCAAACTGTCAGGAGACGAACCAATAATGTTGCTGAAGTCTTCACAAGCTACTTCAAGATCTTGTCTGCTAAATTCTGTCACATCTTTCAACAACTCAGAATCTGCAGAAAATCACAATGTTAACCAATATTACTTCAATGAATACATTAATAAAGTTAATTTAGGAGCAGTAGTTAATGCCTGTAGCAAACTAACCTATGTATACCGTCACATGTTCCTTCTCACTCCCTGATTTCTTCCAAGGGATTATGATTGCCGACTTGCTATTGCATCTTTGGAAAGCAGTAAGGAGGGCTACAAGAAAGAGAGTTCCCACCATGATTCCAGTTACTATTTCAAGAGCTAAAAGCCAGGCAGGTTTCGATGCTTTCTGATGCTTTGCAACCTCTTCAGCAGGCCCATGCTTAGGGCTGGGTGCTTGGTGACTTCCGGATGGCTGAGGACCTAAAAAAGGAATACTGTTACTGTCAACTGTGTAATCATCAAAATTGAATTATTTAAATGGCCATAAGACCATCAGCTAGCATTGGTAAGTGTGATAAGAAAATAAATTGATGAATTTCAAGTTACACATGCAACTGCAAGATATATTAAATTCAACTATGGAAGAGCAGGTGCTTAAATTTTGGTCCAATTATTTGATTAGAACCAAATGAAGCATGTGCACTTCAAGATGTAATCACAATAGTCAGTAGGACTTAGCCACAAACATATATTTTTCTTCAAATATTCATCCATGCCACAGCCTAAGGGAAGATTATGTAATACATACCACATTGAGTGGTGGGACGCTGTTTAGCATCTTTGTCCTGGAGGCAGTTCCCTTGAAAGCTTGTGCTGCATTAATAATATGAGAAAGCATGAATCAACTGGATAAAAAGAAGCCAGCATGGATCTATGATAGAGGCAAAGAAATTTTACCTTGGAAGGTATTCCAAACACTTAGGTATGCTTCCAACCAAAAAATTGTAGGACAAATCTACCACTTTTAACTGAGATAATCGACAAAGTCCAGTTAAGTTTGACCGTGAGGAAGCATACCTGAAGTGAGAAGAATTATTAGAAATCACCTTTAAAACACTAATATGATTTAACTTCAGTGGCAGAATTTCTATAGAAAAAGCCTGCAATATTTTCAACTTCTATGATCCCATACCAAGATATTTTACTCCCAACACCAGCTTTATGGGTTAAAAAAGCGACATTGTTAACAGTTTGCCATATCCAACAGTAAAACTCTAGATGGCACCGTATAACAGTAGGACATAGCATCCTATTATAATTGATTCCCTGCATGTCAATTGTCATGCATAACTCCAAAAAAGAAAAAAGTAAAAGAAAAAGCATAACCTATTATAATGCTAGTAGCAACTCTACCAGCTTGTTTGTTCACCATCCCCTTTCAATCATTATCATCATATCAAAGAACAGCATTCGAACTAAATTTGCTATGAGATGGTGGATTAAAACAAACAGATATAATACTGTAGGCATTTATGTGTAGAAACTAGAAGTGTTCATTGAAAAGGAATACAGGTAATATTTCCTAATGAGCAGTTCATCAAATAGACTTGCTCTCCAAAGCGTAATAGAAAATAATTCCATTGTCACAATATTCCACTTACATTCCATGTATCTTAGCTGTAAATGTTGAATTGCTATTAGCAGGAACAGTTCCATGAAGTTTATTTGTATCAAGAAGAAGTTCCTGAAGATACTTTAAATTTCCAAGCTCAGCAGGCAGGCTCCCTGTCAACCCATTTGACTGAAGGTTTCTGTGATAACAAAAGAAAACAAAATAAGAAAAAAGGTATAAATTACCAAAAATCTTAACTTCCTTGAAACAAAACACATAGAGTTTGGGTTACATCTTCATCACACTGTTTAAATTCCCAAGCTCAGGAGGAATAGGACCCGTCAGTTGATTCATTCCCAAATCCAAGACTTTGAGGAATTGCAACATGCCCAGTTCTTTAGGTATTATACCTATCAGATTGTTCTCGTGTAAAGTTCTACAAAACACATGAAACTATGCGTCAACTGTTACATTCTATAGGGGTGATAACAGGATCATATTCAGTTTGATTTTTCGAATATTATATAAAATTATGAATTTTTAAAATCCAACCGAATCCAAACCAAACCTTTAAATAATTTGAACTAAATCAAACCAAATTTTATCAGTTCGATTTGATTTATTAATTTTTAAAATTTAAAATTTTTATTTTTATATATTATTTTAATATAAAATTTTAATATATTAAGTAGATTTTGTTATAAAATTATCAATTTTTTTATCAAAATTTAAATATATATAAAAATTAAGAAAAATACATAATTCAGTTCTTTTTTTTTTTTTTTCACTTCTTGATCCAAAATCCGATCTGAACCAAATATATACATTTAATATCAAAACTCATCCGAGCTTAATAAAAAAAAAATCGATTCAAACCAAACGGAACATTACAATTCCAAATTGACTTTCGGTTTTCTCTTTTTTTTTTCTCACCCCTACATTCCGAGAAGGAAAAAAGTTGAACCAAGAGCATCATTTTGAACAAATAAGAAAAGGAACACATACAGTTCTTGCAAGTAGGTAATTTGGCCAATTTCCGGAGCAAGAAATCCCTTCAAAAATGAACCGGATATGTTTCTGCAACACATGAAGAGATATGACTGCTCTGAAAATGCATCAATTGTGCAGATATCTACCATTTAATGGAATGAAAAGTTGTTGGATCATGCTTACATCTTTATAACGTGTTGT